TTTTTATAGTAGTAATTTGATTTGTCTACCTAACAAATGTTTCATAGGCAAAATTCTCCTGAGTCCGCACACATCCTTCCTTCAGCATTCTGCATCCTCCTTGTCTCATCTTAAAGACCATTTACTCCAAGGTGGTCTTTCTGTTCAATGAGCCCCAGGTACAGAGTACTGAACGTGAGGATCCGCCAGAAGGCACCGCCATGGGGAGCTACTGGCTGGGGGGCTGGGGGTCAGGGGCCACCACCGGAGGCCCTGCCACAGAAGGCTTTGGCCGCTCTGCGTCCTGCAAACCGACCCTCACGGAATGAGGCGAAAATGAAGAATGACACTGTCAGGCAAAGGAAAAATAAAAAACGTGCTGCTAGCCAACACAGCCATGGAGAAAGACCAATGCCTATTCTTCACACAGAAAGGAAATGGCAATCCTGAAGCATCCTAGGAGGAACAGGAACGCAGACAGACGTGTGAGTTGATACAAGAGACTACCTTCTCCCGATGGATCTATCATCACGCGTGGTGAGCCAGACACAGCATGTCTCACACCCTCAGAGACAGAACGCAAGTGTATGTAAGTGTGGGGATGCTAGAACCATCTAAAGGAAATGAGGCGTCCACATTTTAATCAAAGTGGTGACGTATCAGCAACAGGAGAATGTGGTGAGAAACACGCTTATCGTGATAACCAGGGCAACACCATAAAAACTATACAGAGACACACTCAAGAGCTCTGAACTACATCTAGATGGAATCCTGAAGGATTTTCAGAAGGTAACCCGCAGAAAGGAAAGGAAAGACAGAGAAACAAGAAACAGAGGACATAAACACAAAACAATACAATGATAGACAGATTCTGACATGTTAATCACTAGTTTACATGTAAATGGTCTGAATACACTGATTAAATGCAGAGACTGGCAGGCAGACTAAAAAACTCCAGCTACATGCTGTTTACAAGAAACTCACAAAATCCAATGCCACTGGTAAGCTGAAAGTAAAAGGATGGGAAAATGCACACCACGTAAATAGGTTTTAAAAATGTAGCTATATTAGTATCAGATAAAGCAGAGTTTGGAGCAAAGAAAATTGCCAGAGACACCGAGGGATGTCGCATTGTGATATAAGGATCAGTATACTGGAAGACGGGATCCTCTTTTTTTGGTCCTATATATATATTTTTTTATTAAGGTATCATTGCTATACAATCTGATGAAGGCTTCACATGAGCAACACTGTAGTTACAACACTGCCCCCCATTATCAAGTCCCCCCCACATACCCCATTACAGTCACTATCCATCGGCACAGTAAGATGCTGTGGAGTCCCTACTTAAGACGCAATCCTCTTACCATTTCAAAAATGGCTCCTAACCTTTTTCATGCCAGCTCTTTTAGGAAATGGAAATGGACGTGGAAAGCAGAAGACAGGAAGGAACGTGGCTAAGGAACAAGATACAGAAATGGGCCAAGACAGACACTGGGGGCAGAGCCAGGACAGTGCTAGGGGAAGAATCTCAGGCAGCAGGTAGCGGGCGTGGAAGTGAACTGAGAGATGCCACTGAGGCCTGCAGGTGGGCCTAAGGTGAGGGCAGCAGAGCATGGGATGCCTCACCCCAGAGCAGAAACAGGTAGTGACAGCTGGCCACCACTCAGATTCCCGCCGCAGTTAAGTGGCGAGACTGCTGAGAAAGAGGAAGTCCTCAAGCTGTGGGGATTAAAGCAAACACTGGCTGCAGAGGCCCCAGAACAGGGACAGGGCGTGGGACTCACTATTCCCAACACACGTGTGAGCGAGAACACAGATCTTAGCAACCTGGCAGAAATTGAGTTGGAACATCACCAGAATCGCTTACAAGCTGCAGCAGTGCCCTAAAATGAGTTCTGATGAGGGGAGAGAGGCATGGCTGCTAGGACTGGGGGGGCTGCCTCCTCGGGCCGCTGACCGCGCAGCAACATGCGTTCCAGCAGAGCGAACAGCCGCAGACACGAGCTGGCAACGGTGCACTGCACCTCAGGACATGACGTGACAGACGCAGGGCTGCCCCAGGTGGTCACTTCACACACGTCAATACTGCAGAGGTGACATCCCTGCTCTCCCCGGGTGCGGACCAGAAGTTTGGAAAGAAACAGATCAACATGCTCGGCAGCAATCAGTGGTGGACTGATGTCCACCAGCCAAACCCCAGACTGTGTGTGAACCATGGGAAATGAGTCCAAGTTTTCCAAGTGTTCCAGGCTGTGATGTAGGAAACTGTTCTTTTGTTTCTGGGTTCATGAGAAATGACCTGTTGTCTTAACTAAAACTGAATTACCAATACAGCCAATACATTCTAAAGATTTTTTTTGTATCCCTGAGTCCTTTAGAAATAGTCAGCACCTAAGGATTTATTCCAGAGAAGTTTTTCTGTATTTTTCAGAACCGTAAAACTGAAATTCAGTGTGTTCTAAAAGTGGTTAGATTCTTAATTCCTAACAAGATTAAGTTCTTATATTAGCAAGAGCTTTTTATCAGTACAGAAGTCTGGATACCTGTATTTGTGGCTCTGTGCACATACATTCAAAATCAAATCAAGGAATATTACCAAATGAAAAACAAAAATATACCAAAATGTCATATTTGTAACACAAGGGAATAAAAGTGGGCTTGTTCTCTCAAAGCTTTTAATCTAGGCTTTCCAAAATGTGTAGTTCCCAAATGAAGTTTTCTATGGTTCCTTTGTGTGATGTTAATATTAATGCTGGATTTTCATCAGCAACGTATTTTATGAATCAGAATTCAACTTGAGCTGAATGATGAAGGGGGCAGGGCATGTATCTGGGGCTCTTCTCTGTACAATAATGGATTCCACTCACAGGAAGGCATTGCCACCGTCACCGCTATCACTGCCACTGTGAGCAGCACGGCCACCATACAATCAGAACAACTACCGCAACCGTATCTAGTGAGCGCTAAATAAATGATAGCAAGAATTTACTACAATGAAAAACTTAAGCTCTGTGAAAAACACTGATAAAGGAAACACAAATAAGCCATTTACTGGGAGAAAATATATGCAAACTACTCATCTGATGAAAGACTTCTATCCAAAATACACAAGGAAGTTTTATATTCACTCATAACAATCAATCCAATTTAAAAACAGGCAGAAGGGCTGAGGGGACACGTGACCAGAACAGACACATAAATGGCAAATCAGCATGTGGCAACACGGCCAACTCAAGGAACTGCAATTCGGTCGCAGTGACGCCACGTGCGCCCATCAGAACGGCAACAATGCAGAAGCAGACAGTGTCACGGTCCGGTCAAGGCCGTGGGGCAGCAGGAGCTCCTCCTTGCTCGTGGGGATGCAAAGCGCAGCAGCAGCTGCAGAAGACAATCCGCCAGCTTTACGAGGACAAGCACGGTCCTACCGTCGGGTGCAGCAGTTGTGCCCCCAGGAATATGCCCAATGGAGTGCTCACAAACAGCTACACTCTCAGCCAGACTGCCAGCAGCCAAGACTCCCTCCCTCCGATGGGTAAAGGATAAACAAACTGCAGTCCTGCATGGCTGCAGGGTGGGGCATTCTCAGTAAGATAGCAAACCGAGATATGCAAGAACCTTAAATGCATCCTGTGAAGTGAAAGAATCCAGTCTGAAGAGTCCAGGTACCACATGAAACCCATCACACAGCATCCGGAAATGGCAAACCATGAAGATGATGAAATGACCGGCGGCTGCCCGGGGCCACGGGGAGGAATGGAGAAATGGACAGTTGAAGGATTTTAAAAGCAGTGACCTATTCTGTATGCTTCTGTAAAGGTGAATATGGGACACTGCATTTCTCAAAACCCATTCGACATTCTAGATCAAAGAATGAAACTGGATGCATGTAATTTACAAAAAAATTCACCTGGAAGGCTGGGAAGGCCCTGGGAGAAATGGCGACCGACGGGAGAATAGAATGTGTTTCACATGTGAGCCACCCTCACCAGAGGTGGGGCGGGGCGGACCTAGGACCTGTAGGGAGGGAGGCCTGCGAGGCCAGGGACCAAGGAGCCGCATGGCTGCTGGGGTTGCCAGAGCTGTGAACCCAGGGGCTACAGGTCAGCGACTCTGATTCTGCTGCACAAATGCGCTGGAACTGAAAGACCAAGTCATCGGGCGGCAGATGTGGGGAGCCACTCCTCACGCCTGCAGTGGGAACTCACAGAACAGCAGGGAGCAGTCCAGAATGATCTGTGTGGCGACGGGCTGGGGCTGGAGAGGCCAGTGTGACGGCCTTCGGCCAGCGGAGACATGGACAGTCACAGAGAGAGGCAGCTGCGGACATGTGCATACACACAACTGCTGCTCTGCCGCAAGCCGGCGAAAGGAACAGCCGCCCTGGCGGCGACGGAAACACTCAGGGCCCGCACCGTGATTCCCGACGCCATTCCCCAAGAGAAGGAAGGAGGCTCTCCAGAGAAATGGCTGACTCGGTATGACTCGACCTGGAGCCATGCGCAGTAACAGAACATGAGGTGGTGGAGCCCAAAATGAAAACGAAAGCAAGAAGCCAACAAAACACCCGGTGGGGGTTTGTCAAAGCAACAACAGAAGGAACTGCCATTGGCCAAAAATGGGACTGATTTCAGTGAAAAAAGTAAGTAGCATTAGGTGACACACAGCCATGAAGTAAATACCCACGAGTCTATGTCTCTGTGAATACATACATGGGGCAGGAGAGAAGCCGCAGAATTCCCAGTAACTTATGCAAACATTCTGCATTCAAGGGAGGCGAGCCTGGCCCGTCACCGTGCCAGCGGGGCTGATGCAGGGGGCACCCTCCAGAGCGCAGCACAGGGCGGGGGCGGCTGGCGGGACTTGGCCCTGGAGGGACCTGGGGGCACCCGGGTGGGCACCAAGGCCAACACGGCGTCAGAAATCATGCCTCTGTGGTCTTTTCCTCAAAACACATAATCCCAGCAGCATCATGACAAAAATATTCAACAAATTCCATCAGAAGGGCAACCTTACCTTACCAGAGCTCATCAAAAAGAAGCGACACTGCGCAACGGTCACAGCGACGTAGGGCAGCATGGCGACAGCCAGACGCGGCACCATATCCACGGGGGATCCTAGAACAGCAAGGACACTAAGTAAAACTAAGGAAAGCTCAGTAAACTATGACTTTACTTAGTTAATAATTCATCGATATTGTTTTGTTCACGCTAACTGTACCACACCAACATACGTGTTAGTGGGGAAACTGCATAGAAAGGTATATGGAAACTGTGTCCTATCAGTTCATTTTTTAATAAATATAAAACTATTATAAATAAAGTTTATTTTTAAAAATAAAGCATTTTAAAGAGAAAAAAACGCAATAGGAAAAGACCAATAGGGTATTCAGAAATCAAATTACAAGGTCTAGGATACAACAAAGTCAAATCAATATATTTAAAAAGACCAAAAGAAACTGAGACAGAGAGGCAGAGAGGACAATGGCTGAAAATTGTATAAAACTGATGAAAGGCATGAAACCACAGATCAAAAATGTATTATAATATGCATACAGGATAAATAAAAATTCAAAAAAAATAATTCCCTCTTGGCATATCTACAAAATACCTTCATAGCAGCATCTAGACTAGGGTTTGGCTGAACACTTAGAACCAGTCTAGCCAATCTGACATATAAAATTATCTTACACATGATTAAACTTTCCAACTGAAAGCTGAGAATGGAAGAATGGATTTAAAAAATGATCAATTATATGCTGTCGACAAGAACTTGCTTTAGATCCAAAAACACAGAGTGAATGCAAAAGGAGGCATAAACATATGCCATGGAAACAGTAACAAACATCAGCAGGGAAGGCTCCACTCCTGTCCCACGAAGTACACACCGTCAGAGTTGTTTCAAGGGAGGGAGGACATTGTATACTGTTGACTTCCAGTTCATTCCATTGGGGCTGGAGAAGATACTTGGATAAGTTCCATCTTTTTGCTTATTGAGACTCATTCTGTGGCCCAACAGCAGACAGTCTGTGCTCTACCCTGGTGGACGTCCCATGTGCACGTGAAAAACTACACGTGCCTGTTCTGTGTGCAGTGTGGCACACCTCTTCCGGACCCATTTAATCAGTGCTGTTCCTCTGCTTTTTCACTGGTCATGTCTCGCCATCCTACCCAGTACTGAAAGCAAGGAACTGGAATTTCCGGACATCACTGTAGAATTGTCTGTCTGTCCCTTCATTTTTACTTCCTGTATTTTGAGGATCTCTTGATTAGTGTTTATATGTTCATAATTGTTATGACTTCTTGATGGTTTGAACCTCTGATCAATAAATAGCATTAGATTCTCAAAAACATCACTGGCAGCTAGAAAAAAAATGGAATACCCTTCTAGTTTAAAGGAATCGATCACAAAGCTGTCAACTAAGAACAATGGTATACTGAAGACAACTGGGGGCTGACAAATTCTCAAAAACGTGACTCGTGAATGTTCACACTTGGAATGGTATAGGAGGGGCACACCACCAACGTGAATGAAACAAGGAGACGTGAATCGAGGGAAGCTGGGTATCCGAGAGGAACTGAGACGAGGCGGCCCTCAGGAGGATGGAGAAGAAACCAAGGAGGGCATCGCCCACTTGAAATGGGTCAGAAACCTCTGGGCAGTCTCTGTTACACAGAAGGAAACGGGCAGAATACCAAATGGGAAGAGAACTCAGCGTGGTACAAATAGAACCTAAGCATGAACTATTTAAAAGAGGCAGAGAAGACTAGAAAGTGGAATCTTAAAGGTGGCAGTGTTGTCCAGGAAACGGGAGGCTGTCACGGGACGCAGAGAGCCGGGCTGGGAAGGGCACGCACACGGTCTAAGCAAAAGCACCACGGAAAAGAAGGGAGGAAAGGGAATCGGGAAGTGTCGTGCTGGCGGGGGGCTGAATATGATCAAACTGCCCTCCCCCGTATCAAATTCGGTAACTACTGTTGCAAAATGAAAATCAATGACTGCAGCTAAAGGGTAATACTTAACAATTTGGAGGTAAATATCCAAACTATTTCTATCAAAAGAATTGAAATGTGGGCTCTCTTGAGAGGGACAAGAGGCTGTTATCCCTCCTCAAAACACACTGACTTTAAATTACGGGCAAGTATAATTCTACTAAAAAATGAGGCTGAATTAAAAATAAAACAATAAAACAGGAAAGCAGTGATACCCTAATGGCTACAGAGTTCATATATTTCCTAAAACTCAGTTACTTACAGTTGAGTTTGAGAGCTAGCTGTGGATACTGATCAAAGAAAAAAAAGTGTCTACCATTTTTTAATGTTTTTTAAAATACAGTGATGGCATCTGAAGACAGAATCTTAAGTGCAGACCACACAAAATAAATATGTTTCATTGGTAGGTTAATAAGATTAAGTGATTAGCATAGGCATCCATCTTAGTTTATAGTTCATTTGATGATTCTGAGCCCGATTATCTTCAAGAGTAAAATGCACACAGTACATGTAATCTGCTTCTTTATTTGGTGTAAATCCTAACAAAACCACATAATAATCACAATTTGTTCCTACTGATTGATAGAGCCATTTGGACACCCTCAGCATCATCAGTTAAGAGTTTCATGCATAATTAAATTGTACAGCTAATTAGTGCACAACAAAATAGAAAGGTCAACTTATGAACTATGGAAATTCTCCATTTGAAGAGCAAAATACCATTTTGAAGGCAGTGACTTCTATGCAATGTTATCTAAAGCACTACATAGAATCCTGAGTCATATTTCCGTATCAGGTCTGGAAATGTTCATTTATTTTTAATTAGCTAACTAGAATATAGCTTTGCAAGAAAATGAACAGAGAAGTGATTTATTTACACACTGAGGCTCCTCAATCATAGGTTAATACATGTAAGCAGCTTAAATAGTTCATGACACATCATAAATGCTCCATAAATATTATCTATGATAACATTATTCCAAACCTGAAGGATCTGCAGTCAGTGTATACAAAGACTCCACGGTTTGTAAGTCACAGCGAGTGAGCAGCAGCAGTTTGTTTCCTTTACTTTTGCACATTTTACTTTAATGAAATGAGTATTATTCTGCTCTTTATTCCTGAAATATTTTTATAAGTAGATTCTGTAACACAAAGAGCCCGCTGCCTCTGCGACGTTTGCGAGCGTACTTAGTATCTGGCTTTTTCGGTAACACCCACGGTGGTGCCAGTTCCACGGGCAGGCGCAGGAAGTACGATATCCCCGCTTGCTTCTGCAGCCTCTGCACTTTGAGGATTGTTTTGTTTTCTCTAAGTCGTTACGCTGAGATTTGACTGTGCCGTCCCATTAATGGCCCAAGTGGAATCCCCCAACTTAAAACAGGTCCCCAGAACCTCGCCGTGTCCAGAGGGTCACCCAGGGGGGTAACGAATGGTGATGAGCTCTTCTGGGAAGATCTTTACAGCGAGGCAGCAAATCTCCCGACCACCAGGCCAGACCAGGAGAAAGAAAGAGACGCGGACAGCTCTGCGGGGGTTTCAGGGCGCGAAGCCGGGCGACCCGGTGACAGCTGCTGGAGTTGCCCACGGAGCGCGGGGCTGCCAGCCCACCCGAGCACCTCAGTGGGCGGAAAGCACACGGTGCACCAATAAGTCTTAAGGACAGGAAGGCCGTGGCCGGCGCCAAGCCATAGGGCTGGACAGCAGTACTGCTAAGTGAAGAGCGTCCCAGGCAGGGACACGGCAACAGCCTTGTTGGGAATCCAAGTTCCGGTGCAGCCCACGCGCAAAGCGGGCGGGCTCTGCACGAGAAACAGAGCCAGATCCTCGGTGCCCACCCTGTGGGCGCCTGCATCAGATGCGCCCTGGGGCCAGGCGTCGGGTCCAGCAGTCTAGAGAAGCGGCCCTCTCCACGTGCGTGACCGGGATGGGCCCACGAGCAGCCAGTTCGCCTCGTCTGCAGCCCCTGAGCGCAGCGTCTTGAGCCTACGAGCTCTTCGGGGGGCGGACAGGCCGCGAGCCCCCGAGTCGGCACGTGCACAGTGACGCGCACCAAGGGAAGCCCGGCCCCGGCCACCGAGGCCTCCGAGCTCTTCCCGCCGCGGAGCGGCTGCCGACGGCGACCCAGAACACCGGGCGAAAGCCATCTGCCGCATCACTGACACGGGCCAGGCTTTTCAGGAAAACTGCACACCGAGCAGCTGCCCCCCCGGGCACCCCATTTACAAGGGACGACCGCGGGGGGCACACTCCAACTCGGGAATACCGACTGCAGGGTCTGGAGCCTAAGTCGGTCGGGAGTTCATTTCCGGGCAGAGCCAAGTTGCAGTTTTGAGAAGGTGTCCGACAGCTGGGGAGGCTGCCCCCCTTTCCCAGGGGCTCCGATTGGCAACATCATTCAAAGGCTTGTAGGCCAGAGGGACCACGAGGTGTGGGGCCCACGCGGGCGGGCCTGCCGCTGAGCGGGGCTCGGCTGCCAGGCGTGTCAGTTTGGGGGCGGCGACTCCCGCGAACCGTGAGGGCTCTGCTTTGCCTTCCGCGAGCCGAGGCGTCCGTGCGCAAGGCGGCGACGGGCTCCCGGATGGAGGAACCCCCCCCCGCCCCCCGGCAGCAGGGCCAACGGCACGGCCTCCTGTCCGCACCAGGCCCCGGGCCCCGCCGCGCGGACGGACACACGCCAGGCGGGCGCCTCTCCCGCGGGCCCTGCGGCTCGGCTCGGGCGGCCCTCCCCGCCAGGGCGCCCAGGCGTCCGCGCGGGTCTGCGCCACACCGGCGCGCCCGGCTCCGCGGGGCCACTCCCGGGGCGGACGGCCACGCCGGGCTTCCACACGCTCGCCCAGGTTAAACTAAGGCAACTACAGCCTCTGCTCGCAGGACCTGGAGCGACGGGAGAAACGCAGGGGCTCCTCCGGCCCCAGGGCGGCCCTGCAGACGGCGGGGGGCCGAGGCCCGTCCGCGCCTGTTGTCCGCACTCCAGGCGAGTTTTACAGCGGCGCACGGAGCGCGCGGACACGGGGAAGGGCGGCCGCCTCCGCGGGCCTCTGCTGCGGACGCCGCCGGCCGGGAAGAAGGGCTCGCGCCGCGCCCGCCCGCCGCCCCCCGCGCTCCCCCCGCCCGCCCCCGCCTGGAGCCCCCAGCGGCGCGCGGCTTACCGACCCGGGGCGGCGGGGCGCTCGCCCTCACGGGAACCCCGCGCTCGCCAAGACCGAGACGCCAGCCAGCGCCGGCGCGCGGGACGACGCACGCGGGGCGCGAGCGTGGGCTCCACGTGCGCAGGACGCGGCGTGTGACGTCACGTCCGCTGGGCCGGGGAGGCGCGGCGCTGCCCCTGGCGGTGGACGAGGGGAGGCGACGCGAAGGAGCCGCGGATGGCGGGCCTGCGGGGTCCCCGCCTCCCGGCCGCAGATGCGCGCCGCCTGTGCCCACGCCCGCGCGCCCGCCCGCCGGGGGCCGCGCGGAGCCCCAGTGCCCCGGCTCCGCTCCGCTGACCCGGGAGCTGGGCGCGCGGAGAGAACCCTCGGGAAGGGGGAAGGACGACGTGGCGGAGCTCGGGCCCCGGCTTGGACGGCCGCTGCTGCCCGCACCGCCGTGGACACGGCCCGAAGGTCCGAGCACGCGGGCCTGACCGGCAGTGCAGCTATCGGCCGAAGGGGCCCCGCAAGGATGACGTGATTCCTTGCCCCCCTAAAGGTCCGTGAGCTCCTGGTTCCCCAAATAGTGACGACAAAGCTCTACATTACAACGAAATGGGGCATTTCGGATTAGCTACTGTCTGTATTCACTGGACATCTTCTTTAATAATAGAAAACGCCCACCCACTGTAACTGGGTAATTTGTGCAACCAATCTGTTTTCCCTAATTCAATACAAAACGTCGTGATTGTTGACATGAGGTTTATCTTATTGACTTATATCCTCAAAACCCAGGACGGTGCTTTGAACATATAAGCATCCACAATGTTTAAATTAAAAAATGAAAACAATGCAGGGCTATTATACACAGGGCCTCGTGGAGGATGCTTATTTATTTCCACGTGCTGAGTGAGCATCAACAGTGAGTCAAATACTCTGAATCAAATTTGGGCTAAATTTGTAAATAAGACACACAAGCTCTTTTCTCATGGAGCTTCCAATCTAGCAAAAAGTGAAAAGATAGGGTTTGAACAACAAAAAACTTCCAAGTTTTTAAGGGATGTTGCTACGGAGAAATACAGGTTGCTAGGCCATGGAGAGCCATTAAGGATTTCAGTCTGAGTGACAAGCTGAGATCTGAGTGAGAGAAATTGTCTACATCTGCAGTTAAGAGGAGCTCTCGGCGGAAGTCACTGAGCTCATGGAACAGGCCGGTGACAGTAAGAACCAGGAGAGCACTGGACAGTGAGGCTGGGAGGTGGATTTTCTGATGCAGAGGGCATGAGGATGGGGGGCTGGGATGGTCCTTGGACACCCTGTCTAGCTGGACACGGTGCTGTCCCTAATGCTTTATGACTACTGTTCATCCTTGGGTCGACTGCCCTGCTCCCCGGGGCCTCCCAATACACAGGTAACCCGTTAGACGTCACCTTGCCCTTGTGTGTGCTTGTTTCGGTCCCCTCGGCCATGTTCAAGCACAGCAAAAACAACGCCATCCACAGTGCTAGTTTTAAGAGGCAACAGTGATGTGGACGGATCTTCTGTTAGCAAGAGATTTACTGGGCCACTTGATATGGGCCATTTGCTGAGCAGCCGGGATAATGAATTCCCTTTGCTACGGTTTGCTCGAGATGACCGTCGTGTGCGTTTGGGTGCCTTTCATCATGAGATAAAATGCAGCTGTGGGGTTCCCTGTTTCCTGTTACCAAAGCCTTTTGTGGCCACTGTTTGAGTTTAGTGGAGATTTATGATCCGGGACAAAGAGGTTAAGTCATCTGCTGCTCAGCACAGCCTTCTAGTTTTCTATAAAAGGGTGAGGAATCATTCTTTGCAGTAAACATCACTTTCAGCAAAGTTAAAACTTAAGTGCCTATTGAACATTCACTCAAATTTTCCCTCTAAGACTGAAATCAATAGAGGCCAGCCCTGCAGGTTCAGCATTATTCCCGAGGGGAGCATACATCCTTTCACCCCAAGGCCAGCAGGCTTGGGGCGCCAAAAGCTTGGGGAGATGGGCCTCCTCAAGGGCCCTCCCACCCATTCCAGTTATTGTCAAACAGCCATTTCCCACACGTTTCTGGACTCATACTTAATTTCCATGTTTCCTGAAATATTTTACAAACTTGTATGATGGTAATAAAGCTCTGTGTGAAGAGTAAATAAGACAGGGAGATTTGGAATTCTTTGCTGTGTGAATCAATTAGGAACCTTGTTTCAAGTAGTGGAAAACACCAGGGCGCGATACCTTGGCAACCTGCAGATGGTGTGGCTCTGGAAAGGGGTGGTCTTGGGTGCAGGACGTCGGCTCTGTCCTACGTGGTCTGCTCCTCCGGGCTGACGACATCCTCGCTCAGTATCTTCAACTGTGGTCACCAGGTAGCTCCCAGAATCCCCTGGGGACAGCCCTCGTATGCCTGAGAAGAAAAAGAAAGTATTTTTTCACCAAAATTTAAAGCACCCACCCCTGAAACAACAGCCGTCCAAGGAACTTGGGGTCCTCGTGATGCGTGAGGCCTGGGTCCCAGGCTGCAGGTTCAGACAGGGAGGCGGGGCGAGCAGCCGCTCTGCGCGTGCGCCTGCGGGGCAGTGACCGAGAGCCGCCGGTGACACCCGGGGAGCCCCAGATCAGCAAATGTGCGTTACAGCGGGTGAATGAATACACGTGCCTTTATTTCCAAAGCTTAAATATTGGCACCACTAGGGATCCAACATAAGTTTTTTCCTCATCTTAACCTTTAAGGAGTTTACCATCTACTGGAGAAAACAATTCTCAAAATATTTTGTGCAATGTGATGAACAATGTGGCCTTTCTGTTTCTCAGATTGTGCTCTCATTTTATCTCCAAGTTTTCAAAGCCTATGACAGTAGGTGGTAAATACACCTACATCCTTATCACATTTGTCTGTACAAATGTGTGTGTGTGAGAGAAATGACGGAATGAGTTAGTCACGTGGTGTGTGTTGAACTTGCAAAGGACAAGCGTAAGGCCATTTTATAAACTATGGTAATCCTCCAAGATTAATTTCTTTTCCAGGAAATATTGGCCAAATATGAATATTAATTAAGTGGGGAGCTCATGTCATGACCTAAATCTTACTTAGAACTGAAAGGTTACTGAGACTACATCATAATAATAGTAATAGTTTTGTAATATTGAGTGAATCTGAGACTTCTTGAATATTTAGAATCCATTATTCTGGTAGGTGGATACCTTTGACGTTTCAATCCGAATACCAGTAGGCAGGCATGACTTACTAAACGTCTCCGATTCTAAGCAAGAATGCATTTTGGTGTGATAAGTGATCAGGTATCCATCAGGAATGAGCGTATGTTGTAAAGGGAATTGAGGAATTAACATCTTCAAGCTAAAAGTCGCATACTATCCTGCAGTGTTTTGCATTTCTAAGCTTTGGGATTTTGCATTTCTAAGCTTTCGGAGAAGCCGCAGATGGAGAAACATCAGAGGGGAAGCCCAGCTCGGCAGCGGTTCCCCAGGCCCTGATTTGTGGACCTGGGTTAGAGTAAGGAATTTCTAGACGATGGAAAAATGAAAAACCAAACGCAACAGGGGCCCTGGGTAGGTTTTAGCAGAGACCATTCAAGGGCAGAAGCTCCTCTGTGTTGTAAGCTGGTGTTTTTTTTCTACACTTGTTTTAATGATAAAGGAGATGGCAACCTTTCTCTGACCATCTGGTTACTTAATATTTAATGTGTTTTCTAATTTGCAAAACTGGTAACGCTACGTTGACTCCAAAAAAAAAAAAAAAGGAAATCGGACTGTTGCTGGAGTCCACAAGCCTTGGGAGCGCTTCCGTGCGTTTGTTCTCGGACGTGAGCGAGCCCGGGGAGGTCGCCGCACTCCGGGGAAGGAACGAGACAGCCTCCCCGAGCTGCCCCCATCGGCGTCCCGTCCCGGGGGTTGGTTCCGCCGCAGCCGCCGGCAGAGGGGGCCCCGCGCACTCCTGGGCGATACCGCGTCTGCACAGACGCTGCCCACCACGCGCACAGCAGAGGGAGGCAGTCAAAGGGCAGATCTACGTTGTCCCTCAGAAATAAAGTCGGTGCCCTCTGTTGACCTGTGGGAGGCTTTATTTTGTTTTGTTTTTTACCTTCATGGGACGAACTGCAAACTGCAGGGTTTGTTCGCCTTGTTTTCTTGAAATGTTGTATAGCAAACATTGCATTTTAGAAATTTTACTTGGAAGGTTTCACCTTTCATTTATAGTTAGGTCTGCTGACAGGCGCCTGGGGGGCGTGATGCTGGGGTGCGAGGCAGGTGCTTGACCTCAAGAAGATATGAGGTGGTAGTGCGGCATTTCGGTGTGGGCTGCAGCTCCCGTATTACGGAAAAAACGGCTTTGTGCAACAAGTGTCACAAGCTAAATGACTGCAAATTGAGGCCACATCTCTCTGAGAGGTGGTGAATTCCCCATCAGCAATTCTAATATTTAAAGAGAAGAACCTGCTGGCCGAGGCCCAGGGCAATGTGATTGAATCTGTCCTGCAGAAATCAGAATGCACCCAATCCGTTCATCTTTTCCCCTGAAAATAGGGCCATTTAAAGGGAGGTGATGGGATCAAGGCTGAGGCTGAAGATCTTACAACAAAATGAATAATGTGCATTCATGAGCCTCTGCACCCACACTTCTCCTTCTCTGAGATGTAACCCCCCCTTTCCAGCAGGGAAGAGGCACTGAGATGTCTGCACATCCTGTCTTCATGCCACTGGTTGTCCAGCTTTCATTAGGAGCATCGGTTCTCACAAAAATATGAACGAGTGTAGATTTCCATGTGGATCATTCAATACAAGAAAAGTATAAGCATAAATAAAACAAAGAAGCTCACGGAACTCAGCCCTGAAGGCCTGTACCGTCTAATGACGCCTGCATGATTCTTGCTGGAGGCACGCGGCACACGCGACCTCAGGGCCTGAGGAGGGCACTCCGGGGGAACTGCTCCAAGCCTCTTACCTGTCCCGTGGACGTGTCCTCCTCACCTGGACGCAGCAGTGAGCCCTCCGCAAGGAACCTGGAATGGCCACTCGTACAGAAACTGCAAGTTGGCCACATGTCGGAAGATCTGCGTGATAAACAGCCCCCCAGGCTACACCGGAGTGGCCTGGCCCCTGGGAATTCAGCCTTTCCCTGTGGCGCACAGCAGGGCATTCTGAGTGCTGAGTTTCTTTTTCACGTGGGAAGGCTGGAATTTCTATAGAAAAACTGAAAGCAGTTGACACTTAGCCAAGCGGCCATTTGGCACGGCTGCTGAGTATCACACACCTATCTGCTCAGATGCTCTCTGACACCCAGGACCGAACCATCCTATTTTTTAATTCTGTGATAGAATATGATTATCCCGCTGTGATAAGAGGATTTCTGTCATTAACATTCTTTAATGAATTAACTTCTGGGCTGCCATCACCTCTAATACATGATAGTCAACCAGGGCAGATCATAAAAAAATAGAAATGTTCATCTAATTTTTAAAAAAAGCCTTATTAGGGTGTCATTTACATCATTTACATGCTATTAAATCAATCTTTAAAAAAAGTACTAAGGTATAATTTGCACTTTACTTAAATTAACCTGAAAGTATAATTGAACGAGGTTTAGTAAACTTACATGGTTGTGTGACCATCACCACAATTCAGTTTTCAAAGATGTGGTCAGCCAACAGATTAGGAAATATGCAGCGATTCCACGTGATGGGGACACACGGGGCGGGGTCGCCCACGGGGCTCCCGCCGCGGAGCCTCCTCCCTGAGGTCGGAGTCCGTCCTGCTGCAGCCGAGCGGGACTTGGCGTGAGTTACGCTGTGTTTTATTTAACCTTCCCCAGTTTGTACCGGATTGTGTCCAGTTTGGGGCTGTTATGAAAAATGCTGTTTCGACATATGTTTACATTGCTCTTAGGAATGGAATCACCGGTAAATGCATCTTGATTAAACTGCCTAACTGTTTTCCAAACTGGGAGCATCATTTCAAATTCTCACCAGCAATTTATGAAGATTCTAGTTTCTCCACATTATCCTGGCAGGCGTAGAGCTGGTCTGTCTGAATCTTAACTCCAAGGACCTCTAACTAAAAAAAACGAGTATTGCAAGTCTATTTTGTGATTATTTCTGTTGCCTGAGGAAGGAGGGTGGCAGGAGAGGCTTTGACTAGGAAAGAAATTTTCAGTTGTTTAAAGTAGGTCTGGTGATTGGAAAAGATTGTCACTTCATCTTTTCCTTTTAATGGATTTTACGTTTCATTTTCCCGTAGCTTTTGTAAAACATTACAGCAAACCCTGTGAAACATTAAAACAGGAAATAAAAACATCCACAGCCTGCCACCCTAGACAAAAGCAGCCAGCCTCCCACTGAACCAGCCTTCTTTGGTCCATGTGTGCATCACACAACGGTTTTCCAGTTGTGACTGTAGCAGAAATTAACCCCAAACTTCAAGATGCCTCTTAACTACGCACATGACTACAGGGCCTATCTGGTCAGAATTTTTAAAGGCTGCGTACTTCTTCTTTCTCTGATTTTATTTTAAATTAGAAGATATCTTCTACTCTCAAACATTTATTTCATTTGTTTTGCTAGTTAGCCAAGTCAATACATTCATGTGTACTGATGTCTACTCATACATAGGCTTGTGCTTTGTTTTTATCCATTATATTCACCGGTCAAATCATGCCGTTTGTGATTATTGACACACACTGCCAGACCACATTCCGGATCACACACATGGTGAGACGGCATCAGCTCTCCTCCAGCCTCGGCACCTTTAGGAAGCAGTCCACGTGTTTCCTCTAGTGAACTGCCTATCGACTGCCCTTCGTGCACCACTGCAGTTCCATCAGCACCACGCGGCTCTTGGCACCTTCCATTTAGGGTAATAAGCCCTTCACCTCCTTGCTCAGGGTTTAATGCAAATGTGTTCATTCCACAAATAGTACATGACTCTCTTACGTAATTAACTGTAATTTTAGAGACATTGCTATTTAAATATTGCTTGGGTGTGAATAATGAAAAGGTGACTTCAGTGTAAATCACTTTTCCCAACAAAAGCTTATGTATATTTCTATCTACTGGTAGGACAAAACTGAATTACTGCTACCCTGCCTGTAAAGAAATTTAGCTAAATTAGTAAGCACATGTATTCATAAACTTATTTTTTCTGTCTTCTTTGTTTCAAAGCCCCAAATTAATGAAAGAAAAATATATGTGAGAGGGGGTATAAAATATACAGTGGGATCCTGCCACTGATGTAAAAGTGTGTGAGAATCAACGTACATGGCCAAGAGTTCTAGGGCCTGCTTTCTATTTTGAGGGGTAAACATGGGATCACTTATTTAATCTCAAGGGAAGTGTTTAAGAGAACTTCATCTCCCTTATTTTCATTACCATCAAAACATAAATTGAAATTGGGGAATCCATGATGTAACTTCAGGTGATGAGGCACAATGATATCAAAAATTCCCATTCTCTATTTTTGCAGCTCTCTTTGCATCTGTGGGTGGCGTGTGGCCAGATAGTAAGAATGAGATGGAAATGGAAGTACGCTGAAGGTCTTGGGGGAGAAAGGGAGCTTTTGTGAAATTTTTGATACAAAAACTTTCTGGATACCAAAGAATGTGGCTGGTGTAAGGTTTTTTCTACTTAACACATTGGGACTTTCTGCCTTTAACATGGCTGTGATGGCTGGAGCCGTGGCAGCCAGTCTACAGTCATGAGGGCAAAGGAAATCACAACGAAGCATCCTCCCTTGCTTAAATGAACCATTGATGAAAAACAGCAATTTCCAGAGGAGTCAAGAAACATCACAGAACATGTGAAATGGACGACCTTGGAAACACATGTAAGGCAAGCTCTAGGGATGCTGAAAATACTGAGGGTCTGTAATTTTCATGACTAAATAGCTGAAAAGTGGCAGGGGGGAGCCACTGAGTCAACAGCATTGGAACGTTGGTGTTAATATGAGTTTAACTGTATTCATCTGCTAGGGAGGCAGAGAGATATTGGGGTATGGTCACAGTACCTTGAAAAGTTTTCCTTAAGAATCTCTGCATCTGTTCTGCCCCCAGAGATGTTCAGGCGTCCTTTTCCATTGGTTCTACGATACACTGTGTTTAAATGCAGAAAAATGCTTTTACTGTACGTAATGGTAAAGATTTGTTTTTGCATCTGCCTTTTTACCTGGACTATGACTCTGTGGAGCAGTTGTGCAGTCACTGGCTCTGTGGCCAGCGGGAGGAGACAGGCGAGCTGGGCTCTTAGAGCCTGTCCTCCTGATGCCCCACAGCCGGAGGCCGTCACTGGGGTGTCACGGCCCATCAACCACAAGGCCAGGCTGGCTGTCAATGCTGTCACTGACTGGCTTGTAATTAGTATTTCCACCATATCTGTAAGTATTCAGTGATGTCACCAAGCTCTGGGTTGCTCATCAAAACATTTGGTCAAGTATCATATTTCTGAAGGACAGAATAAAGAGAGCCCCTCGCATAACCTCAGTCGATGAGACACAATGATATCAAAAATCCCCATTCTCTGTGGGGTTTCTGGGAACCTGAAGGGCACATTTCATTACTGGAGTTTGTGGATCCCTCCAGGCAGAGCAGCAGGTTTGTCAGCCGCCGAGCAGTTTGTGATCACCTTACCTGGGTCCTCTGGTGGGCATCACCTCGGGATAGCCTGGGCTGGCTTTGGAGTTGAGCAGCCTGGGGACCATGCCCCCTAGGGGTTGTGTGGCCGCATGTTGGGGAGATTCTAGGTCTGTTAAGGGGGAATAACAGCTGTTGAGTTCCTACGTGCAAGTGGACAGACCCAAGTCTGGACAACTTGAACTAAAAGAACATATGACAAATACATATTTATATATCACTCTATATATTTATCTATATCTAGAGAATGAGAGAGGTTAGAGAAAGAAACGGGCCAGCTGCCAGGATTACGAGAACAACCCACTGGCCTGGCCATGGGATGGAGGCAGCCGTGTGGAGTGACCAGATGGCTGCAGCCCCAGAAGGGAGCTGGTCCTGGCTGGGGTCTTCCGGAGACCCATTGGGGGCAGCGATTCCCACAGGATGGCCACGCACTGTGCCCTGAGAAGAGGGCACACGTGGCAGGCTCCACAGTCAGCGGTTCCGAGAGAGGCAGACAGCACTGGCTTTGGCTGCTTCGCCATGTTGGTGAGTCAAGTGACCCTGCAATCCTACGAGAGCGCTGCTACCGAGGCCAAGAGCAAGTCAGACCCTATTCATTGCTGTGAAAGCCGCCGCTTGGAGCAGATCACCGCATCGCCTCCTCGTGGGCCTCGCAGGCCGCCGCAGGGATGTGCCTCAGTAGTCCTTCCACGAAGCATCGACCACAGCGAGGGTGACAGCCGTACAGACTCGCTTCAGATGCAGACACTGGAGGACCTACTGTGCACAGGACACACCGCCACATGCTAAATACCCTAGACAGGAGATGGGTTTTTGAGGCCAAGTATAATCTCTGGTTATCAGATGCACAGCTGGAAGGGCCAGTGAAGGGGCCTCTCACGGGAGTTCAGTGTGTTAGACAAAGGCAACTGCAGAGCTCCCGGTTCCGACTTAATTAAGCACATCTTGAGGACATACTGGGTACAAGTCATTCTGGGGGATATTAAAACTGAGCATATGGAGTATTTATTTCTCCTGGAATATTAACTTGTGGTAATTGTTTACCAAGTGAAGCAAAAAAAAAAAAATGATGAAACAATTTCATAGTTGCAGAAAAAGAGCACTTTGATGGATATAATATAGTGACTTTTTGGTGAAAAAGAACAATGTTGAAGCAAGGGAAGACTGCCCTCTAATCAGCCCTGCCTAGCTGTGCATCATTTGGTAAATTAACTAACTTCTCTGCATTTCATCTTCTTCATCTATGAAATGAAAACAGTGACACCTACTCTGCTAGATTATTTGGGTGCATGGAATGGTGTCCTCAATCCGTGGCAACTAAGTATGTTTCCTGATCCAGAGGCCCAGACTCTAGGCTGGACATCGAAACTGTTTCTTTGAAGCCACTGGGGGGCTACTGTTAAATTTTTGGTTGTTCTTCATTTTGTAATGACTTGACGCTCAGGCGAATGAACGTATCATTCTGCTTAACTGCAAGACCTTCCGCGTGACGGGCCCCTAAGGGCTTGTCAAGCATTCTGTTCTCTCTGCCTGGAAACGGACGGAGGGCAGCTGGCTCCGGATTTTAAAGGCTGTCTGAGAGAATGATTTTTCGAACCTTCTTCAAGCGTAATGTTTGAACTGTCCGTTAAATATGTCTATAGTTCTTGTACACGCCATTTTTCCATGTTGTGAACGTTTACAGAAAAACCTCCCAGCTTTTTATCTTAATCACAGAAATACAGGCTGGATTTTGGTTTGGAGGGAACTGAAAGCTCTCACTGACTTTAAGGCAAACATGCAGAAAGTCAGCTTCGTCGGTGGCATTCTCACGACTGATCACAAGCGTGTCGTTCACTGACCTGCCGGTGGCGGCGAGGCATGGGAAGCGCACAGCCTCGCTCTAAATATGGTCGCGCTCGCCGCTGACAAGCCCTTCTCTCCCCTGCCACAGACGCACATGCACACAGTAAGGCCAAAATAAATTCACGCCGAAAAAGAGAAATCTAAAATTAAATATTTAATTAGAACTCTGATTTGCTTTAAAGATAGGTGGCATTGCACAGACTATATTACACTCTCTTTACAATTTTTTTGACAAAAAAGATACTGTTCATTTTAACAGGCCACTTCATATTAATACATGTGTAATAGGATTGGAACTGAAAATCAGCTAGAGATGGTACATTGTACATTATTGGGAAAATTACAGTTTTGTATTGTAAAAACATTTATTTTTTTTAACAATTTACCTACATTAATCAAAAAATTACAGCATATTTAATAATTTTACAAATTCTCCATAAAAAATATATCTCTGTACAAAAAGGTTCATTTGCACCTACTTCATGTCAGCAGCATGTGGTGGGATGGCAAGGCGGGTGGGGGTGAGGAGATGGTTTCCTGATCACGATGCCAGCGTTCTTTTTCCCCTTTTTTATATAGCTTTTTTGTTGTTGTTTACAAAATATTTTACAGAAGAAAAAAATTATTGCAGCTAGCCTGAAGGAAGGCAAGATGTGTCAGACAAGCAGCGGTTTGAAACAGCTCGGAAGCACACGGCCCGCGTCAGCGTGGAGTCCTTCCCGCTTGGGCGCTGGCGGCTCGGACGTCGTCTAGGCCACGCGGGGACCACTGGTGGAGGCCGGCCCGGGCGCCAGGCCCTTGGGGGGAGGGCAGCACGCATGGCTCCCGCCAGAATTCCACGGGCTGTTGTTTGCTTTAAGGAACACGCTCCAACCTGGCAACGAAAGGGCGGCTTGCATCTGCACATGGAGAACAGCATCCGGCGAGACGTGTGGCCCCGGGCATGCACGCGCGCCGTCGCTTCAGGATTCCCTGGCGTCCTTGGCCAGCTGGCCGGCCAGGGGTGCGGGAGGGGACATCAACTCGTGCTCTGGGGTCGGCTTTCGCAGCCGGTTGGAGTGGCTCACACACACATATATACAGTCACCCTGTTCTCCTGCGCCACGACCCTCACGCCTCCTCGCTGCTCCCACTCGGGCCGCGTGTTCCGAGCCTGGCTCGGGCCGACCTCAGCTGTTCTAAGGAGGAGAATCAGTGTAAGGCCTCCAGGCTGTAGAGCAAACCTCCAGTCACACTGTCAGGTTCGCCAGGGAAAGGTGTGCGGAGAGTTCAGCCTAATACTGTGGAATTCAAAAGGCAAAGAAGGACCGGGCGGGGCCAGTCGCGCCCTCTGAAGGGCATGTGCCCCTTCCAACGGGCAACGGAAGCGCGGGCACCCAGGGGAAGGGGCCTCCACACGCCCCAGCCACACGCGTGACTCATGAAGGGCGACCTAGTATCCTGACGGGCGGTTTTCCCTTTGAAGTCCTGCACTGAGACATGCAACAGACAGACAGACGGATGAGTGGGTCCTAACGCTGGGCGTGAGCACGTTCACAACAGGGCGAGTCAAACACTCTGACGTCTCTGCTGATGCTCATGTGGAACGTGAGGAGACATTCTCAGCATGTGGGATATGCACTTGCGGCCCAAATAATAAAATAAGCGATGTCTTTTCAAAATATTTTTATAAACAGCTATAAATGAAAATAAACATGATCTTCGCTTTGAGTTGGTTACATAAACATCTTCTACTTCATAGTTTGATTTTATCCACATTGGGGGTCACACCTATTTTATCTACACTGCAATTCATACTTTACCTATAATGATTTCTTAACTTGAAATGCCACTGGAACTTCTTTGCATCTGCAATTGGAAAGCATGAAATGAAAGACAAACTGGTAGATGAAACAGGGCATCAGGAGAGAAGAGTGTGGGACTTTTTCCTTGCCTCCAAAGAAACACTTGGTATTCCACCCTGAACAACTCCCACTGAGTCCAAGGTGCGCCTGCGGTATACTGTCTTCCGATGCAATCCCAGAGCAAAAGAAAAAACCCCACAAGGCCGAGGGAAGCCTGACGGGAGCTACGACCCACAAGTTCACGAGCTAGCTAAAATAAATTACTATTCACATTTTTACACGGCAGAGAGAGACTGCTGCAAGCCTCCTGCTGTTGAGTTGAGTGACACTGACAGTGATGGGGTGGTGACACTTCAAAGGAAGAAACCTGGGGGGAAATGAAAAGGCCTCGTTTTCCCTTGTTGGACATCTTCAGTGAATGCAACACATACATGTAGCTAACAGAAGCAATAATAAAATATATCTCTTCAATAGCGATTTCCTTTTAAAACCTGTGCCGCGTCTGGGGATTTTCTTCCTTTCTCTAACACGCCCGCCACCTCAGGGTGGACTGCGTAGCTTGACAACAGGGGAAGATGCTTATTCACAATGGACAGTGCATATAAACCCTGTGTAGTTTCGTTTTTATCAGAATCTTACTCAGTCATTCATAACATACTAGTGCAAAAAATTGTGCATCAAAAATTCTGCAATAGAACAGCTGACTGGGGCATTTGCAGATGGCCCTGGATGGACACGGCGATGAGCTGTGGGTCCTCAAAGCCTGCCAGGCCTCGGGAGGGCAACGGGAGCGTCCGAGGGGTGTGCGCCTGCCAGGGAGGTGTCTTCTCCGAGAGGGCTCTTTCTCAGTGTTGGTGCCCGTGGGGGTTAAAAACAAAGCAGAACAACATACTGTGATGGTACCGTTTGTCACCGCGCCCAGAGGTACCCGCGTGCCCGGAGGGTCACACTGAGAGGCACCCCAGCCACACAGGGGCGGGAGAGGCTGGGGCTGCAGCGCGGTGCGTGGGCAGCCTTCGCAGCACGCCTTGACTCCCAGCAGGCGCGGCCCGGCGTCTAGGATCACTTTCGGTGCCAGGTCCCTTGTAGTCCGGCCCGCAGAGGACGCGGCCCTTGGGAGAGCCCCGCTGCTCGGGCGCCAGGTGGGGAAGGTCGCTGCGGCCGAGCCGGGGTGGGGGCAGCGCACGGCACCAGAGAAGACCCCGGTGTCTGCCGGAGGTATGGCTATGAGTCCGCCCGCGGGCGCCGCGGGCTATACCACCGTGCACACCGTGTTCAGGGTGGTGTCAAAGCGCACGGCCTTGGCCTCTGTGGGCTTTAAGTTTGTGTCGTACATGGGGTATGCTCATCAAAACATTTGGTCAAGTATCATATTTCTGAAGGACAGAATAAAGAGAGCCCCTCGCATAACCTCAGTCGATGAGACACAATGATATCAAAAATCCCCATTCTCTGTGGGGTTTCTGGGAACCTGAAGGGCACATTTCATTACTGGAGTTTGTGGATCCCTCCAGGCAGAGCAGCAGGTTTGTCAGCCGCCGAGCAGTTTGTGATCACCTTACCTGGGTCCTCTGGTGGGCATCACCTCGGGATAGCCTGGGCTGGCTTTGGAGTTGAGCAGCCTGGGGACCATGCCCCCTAGGGGTTGTGTGGCCGCATGTTGGGGAGATTCTAGGTCTGTTAAGGGGGAATAACAGCTGTTGAGTTCCTACGTGCAAGTGGACAGACCCAAGTCTGGACAACTTGAACTAAAAGAACATATGACAAATACATATTTATATATCACTCTATATATTTATCTATATCTAGAGAATGAGAGAGGTTAGAGAAAGAAACGGGCCAGCTGCCAGGATTACGAGAACAACCCACTGGCCTGGCCATGGGATGGAGGCAGCCGTGTGGAGTGACCAGATGGCTGCAGCCCCAGAAGGGAGCTGGTCCTGGCTGGGGTCTTCCGGAGACCCATTGGGGGCAGCGATTCCCACAGGATGGCCACGCACTGTGCCCTGAGAAGAGGGCACACGTGGCAGGCTCCACAGTCAGCGGTTCCGAGAGAGGCAGACAGCACTGGCTTTGGCTGCTTCGCCATGTTGGTGAGTCAAGTGACCCTGCAATCCTACGAGAGCGCTGCTACCGAGGCCAAGAGCAAGTCAGACCCTATTCATTGCTGTGAAAGCCGCCGCTTGGAGCAGATCACCGCATCGCCTCCTCGTGGGCCTCGCAGGCCGCCGCAGGGATGTGCCTCAGTAGTCCTTCCACGAAGCATCGACCACAGCGAGGGTGACAGCCGTACAGACTCGCTTCAGATGCAGACACTGGAGGACCTACTGTGCACAGGACACACCGCCACATGCTAAATACCCTAGACAGGAGATGGGTTTTTGAGGCCAAGTATAATCTCTGGTTATCAGATGCACAGCTGGAAGGGCCAGTGAAGGGGCCTCTCACGGGAGTTCAGTGTGTTAGACAAAGGCAACTGCAGAGCTCCCGGTTCCGACTTAATTAAGCACATCTTGAGGACATACTGGGTACAAGTCATTCTGGGGGATATTAAAACTGAGCATATGGAGTATTTATTTCTCCTGGAATATTAACTTGTGGTAATTGTTTACCAAGTGAAGCAAAAAAAAAAAAATGATGAAACAATTTCATAGTTGCAGAAAAAGAGCACTTTGATGGATATAATATTGTGACTTTTTGGTGAAAAAGAACAATGTTGAAGCAAGGGAAGACTGCCCTCTAATCAGCCCTGCCTAGCTGTGCATCATTTGGTAAATTAACTAACTTCTCTGCATTTCATCTTCTTCATCTATGAAATGAAAACAGTGACACCTACTCTGCTAGATTATTTGGGTGCATGGAATGGTGTCCTCAATCCGTGGCAACTAAGTATGTTTCCTGATCCAGAGGCCCAGACTCTAGGCTGGACATCGAAACTGTTTCTTTGAAGCCACTGGGGGGCTACTGTTAAATTTTTGGTTGTTCTTCATTTTGTAATGACTTGACGCTCAGGCGAATGAACGTATCATTCTGCTTAACTGCAAGACCTTCCGCGTGACGGGCCCCTAAGGGCTTGTCAAGCATTCTGTTCTCTCTGCCTGGAAACGGACGGAGGGCAGCTGGCTCCGGATTTTAAAGGCTGTCTGAGAGAATGATTTTTCGAACCTTCTTCAAGCGTAATGTTTGAACTGTCCGTTAAATATGTCTATAGTTCTTGTACACGCCATTTTTCCATGTTGTGAACGTTTACAGAAAAACCTCCCAGCTTTTTATCTTAATCACAGAAATACAGGCTGGATTTTGGTTTGGAGGGAACTGAAAGCTCTCACTGACTTTAAGGCAAACATGCAGAAAGTCAGCTTCGTCGGTGGCATTCTCACGACTGATCACAAGCGTGTCGTTCACTGACCTGCCGGTGGCGGCGAGGCATGGGAAGCGCACAGCCTCGCTCTAAATATGGTCGCGCTCGCCGCTGACAAGCCCTTCTCTCCCCTGCCACAGACGCACATGCACACAGTAAGGCCAAAATAAATTCACGCCGAAAAAGAGAAATCTAAAATTAAATATTTAATTAGAACTCTGATTTGCTTTAAAGATAGGTGGCATTGCACAGACTATATTACACTCTCTTTACAATTTTTTTGACAAAAAAGATACTGTTCATTTTAACAGGCCACTTCATATTAATACATGTGTAATAGGATTGGAACTGAAAATCAGCTAGAGATGGTACATTGTACATTATTGGGAAAATTACAGTTTTGTATTGTAAAAACATTTATTTTTTTTAACAATTTACCTACATTAATCAAAAAATTACAGCATATTTAATAATTTTACAAATTCTCCATAAAAAATATATCTCTGTACAAAAAGGTTCATTTGCACCTACTTCATGTCAGCAGCATGTGGTGGGATGGCAAGGCGGGTGGGGGTGAGGAGATGGTTTCCTGATCACGATGCCAGCGTTCTTTTTCCCCTTTTTTATATAGCTTTTTTGTTGTTGTTTACAAAATATTTTACAGAAGAAAAAAATTATTGCAGCTAGCCTGAAGGAAGGCAAGATGTGTCAGACAAGCAGCGGTTTGAAACAGCTCGGAAGCACACGGCCCGCGTCAGCGTGGAGTCCTTCCCGCTTGGGCGCTGGCGGCTCGGACGTCGTCTAGGCCACGCGGGGACCACTGGTGGAGGCCGGCCCGGGCGCCAGGCCCTTGGGGGGAGGGCAGCACGCATGGCTCCCGCCAGAATTCCACGGGCTGTTGTTTGCTTTAAGGAACACGCTCCAACCTGGCAACGAAAGGGCGGCTTGCATCTGCACATGGAGAACAGCATCCGGCGAGACGTGTGGCCCCGGGCATGCACGCGCGCCGTCGCTTCAGGATTCCCTGGCGTCCTTGGCCAGCTGGCCGGCCAGGGGTGCGGGAGGGGACATCAACTCGTGCTCTGGGGTCGGCTTTCGCAGCCGGTTGGAGTGGCTCACACACACATATATACAGTCACCCTGTTCTCCTGCGCCACGACCCTCACGCCTCCTCGCTGCTCCCACTCGGGCCGCGTGTTCCGAGCCTGGCTCGGGCCGACCTCAGCTGTTCTAAGGAGGAGAATCAGTGTAAGGCCTCCAGGCTGTAGAGCAAACCTCCAGTCACACTGTCAGGTTCGCCAGGGAAAGGTGTGCGGAGAGTTCAGCCTAATACTGTGGAATTCAAAAGGCAAAGAAGGACCGGGCGGGGCCAGTCGCGCCCTCTGAAGGGCATGTGCCCCTTCCAACGGGCAACGGAAGCGCGGGCACCCAGGGGAAGGGGCCTCCACACGCCCCAGCCACACGCGTGACTCATGAAGGGCGACCTAGTATCCTGACGGGCGGTTTTCCCTTTGAAGTCCTGCACTGAGACATGCAACAGACAGACAGACGGATGAGTGGGTCCTAACGCTGGGCGTGAGCACGTTCACAACAGGGCGAGTCAAACACTCTGACGTCTCTGCTGATGCTCATGTGGAACGTGAGGAGACATTCTCAGCATGTGGGATATGCACTTGCGGCCCAAATAATAAAATAAGCGATGTCTTTTCAAAATATTTTTATAAACAGCTATAAATGAAAATAAACATGATCTTCGCTTTGAGTTGGTTACATAAACATCTTCTACTTCATAGTTTGATTTTATCCACATTGGGGGTCACACCTATTTTATCTACACTGCAATTCATACTTTACCTATAATGATTTCTTAACTTGAAATGCCACTGGAACTTCTTTGCATCTGCAATTGGAAAGCATGAAATGAAAGACAAACTGGTAGATGAAACAGGGCATCAGGAGAGAAGAGTGTGGGACTTTTTCCTTGCCTCCAAAGAAACACTTGGTATTCCACCCTGAACAACTCCCACTGAGTCCAAGGTGCGCCTGCGGTATACTGTCTTCCGATGCAATCCCAGAGCAAAAGAAAAAACCCCACAAGGCCGAGGGAAGCCTGACGGGAGCTACGACCCACAAGTTCACGAGCTAGCTAAAATAAATTACTATTCACATTTTTACACGGCAGAGAGAGACTGCTGCAAGCCTCCTGCTGTTGAGTTGAGTGACACTGACAGTGATGGGGTGGTGACACTTCAAAGGAAGAAACCTGGGGGGAAATGAAAAGGCCTCGTTTTCCCTTGTTGGACATCTTCAGTGAATGCAACACATACATGTAGCTAACAGAAGCAATAATAAAATATATCTCTTCAATAGCGATTTCCTTTTAAAACCTGTGCCGCGTCTGGGGATTTTCTTCCTTTCTCTAACACGCCCGCCACCTCAGGGTGGACTGCGTAGCTTGACAACAGGGGAAGATGCTTATTCACAATGGACAGTGCATATAAACCCTGTGTAGTTTCGTTTTTATCAGAATCTTACTCAGTCATTCATAACATACTAGTGCAAAAAATTGTGCATCAAAAATTCTGCAATAGAACAGCTGACTGGGGCATTTGCAGATGGCCCTGGATGGACACGGCGATGAGCTGTGGGTCCTCAAAGCCTGCCAGGCCTCGGGAGGGCAACGGGAGCGTCCGAGGGGTGTGCGCCTGCCAGGGAGGTGTCTTCTCCGAGAGGGCTCTTTCTCAGTGTTGGTGCCCGTGGGGGTTAAAAACAAAGCAGAACAACATACTGTGATGGTACCGTTTGTCACCGCGCCCAGAGGTACCCGCGTGCCCGGAGGGTCACACTGAGAGGCACCCCAGCCACACAGGGGCGGGAGAGGCTGGGGCTGCAGCGCGGTGCGTGGGCAGCCTTCGCAGCACGCCTTGACTCCCAGCAGGCGCGGCCCGGCGTCTAGGATCACTTTCGGTGCCAGGTCCCTTGTAGTCCGGCCCGCAGAGGACGCGGCCCTTGGGAGAGCCCCGCTGCTCGGGCGCCAGGTGGGGAAGGTCGCTGCGGCCGAGCCGGGGTGGGGGCAGCACACGGCACCAGAGAAGACCCCGGTGTCTGCCGGAGGTATGGCTATGAGTCCGCCCGCGGGCGCCGCGGGCTATACCACCGTGCACACCGTGTTCAGGGTGGTGTCAAAGCGCACGGCCTTGGCCTCTGTGGGCTTTAAGTTTGTGTCGTACATGGGGTTTTCGAAGGAAGCTTGTCCATTGCTGTTTTCATGCCCAGCGTAGCCATTGTATTGGACTTTGGGTCTTGTTCTAAAAGGAAAAGGGAGCGAACTGTTAGGACCCTGGTTTCCAGGAAGGAGGTGTGGGAATTGCGACTGTTGTGAAACGACTTCTCCATCACCGGGGCCCTAGCACGGCGAGGACGTCCGGGGAAGGGTGAGCGCCCCTTCACGCTTCCCTGGAGGACACTAACTGGCGGTTGGGGTTATGAAGTGGGTTTATAAGATGGAAGCAATTTCCAAAAGCAAAGGGTGACCTGATCCCTTCTAATACTCTCAGGAAAATGGGAAGGTCACGAATGCTGGAGTCACGCTGATTTGGTCCGGATATCCACCCGCCACTCACAGGTCACGGGACCTTGAATACGCCGACACTGACTTTAACCCTCTCTGTAAGTAATGTATAATCAAGACGTCAGCCCTCAGGACTGCTTGAATTAAATGAAAATATCAGCTTCTGTCCATGCATGAGGAGCAGTCAGTAAATGTCAGCTGTTTTGTAATAAAGTTTTGTCTCCAGGGAGCTAAGATAGAGAGAAGACACTACCTGCATTATTAAACTACTGGCTACATTTTCTACCCAAAGAACTCCTCTATACATGATCTAAGAGTTAAAGGAGTCTAGAGAATGAAAGGATTCTTAGATATGAAAGTCCTAAAGTTAGATAATCTGCCCCCATTCTTTTCTTTTTTTTTCAAAAGAAATCACTTAAGGAAAATATGCCAGGTGGCAGCAACAGAGCCTCAATGCGCATGGCCGCACTAGCGGGGGCATCGCTTCGCACTGGCCGCACTAGCGGGGGCTTTGCTTCGCGCTGGATGTAGAGAAGCCTCTGTTGTACTGATTCAGGACGTTTTTTAAGTTGCATTATGTTCATTAAGAATAAGAGAGCCAAAACCTGTGTGTCTTAGAGAACAAGGTTTCTGTTGGCAGGAAGGCAGTTAACAGCTGCCCAGGGGCTGGGGGCCTCGACACTGAATGGGAAAACAGTCCAGCAGCAGAGATCAGTGAACAAACTCCGCCAGACGGTCGCCTGCTCAGGGCTGGCCAAGACCTCACTGACGCTCCGGTCCCAAGTCACGGCCCCGCATCGCGACGGAGGGGCCAGGGGACTCACACGGATGTGGAGCCAGGAACTCCGACTCTGAGTGAGACAATGGCCCCAGCCAGCCAAGTATTGAGTCGGAAATGAGAGGAAACAAGGTTTTAACTGGAGAGATACAGAGCCGACCCATTAAGGAGTTTTTTTTACCAGTAGCGGGTAGGGAGCCAACAGAGAGAAAGCGAATGGCTTGGTGCCTCCCCTGGGCAGGTGGCAAGGGCTCAAAAGATTTATGAAGTGCCCGGGCGACCAGGCATGGGTTCCCTGCTTCTAGAGAGAGCCCACGTTCCTCATGTGGCGCTGGGGCAGAGAACGGCAAGACCCGGCAGGTGTCACAGCGGCTCAGGGGCTCGTGGGGGCCCGAGGCCAGACGGCCTTCCTTCACCTCTGGATGGCACGGCCCCGCGGATGGATGTGCAGGGACGCCCTGCCCGCCCACTGGGGCGGCGCGCAGAGGAGGAAGCCATCCACACACACAGTGAGCGGGACCCCGCTCCCGCCCCCCCGGTTTCCTTGTCTGTGATCTGCTCCCCTGCGCTGCCTTCGCCGGGGCACCAGATACTGAACATTTACAGGGACATTTCTAGTTTGAAGGCCACAGCCGGCTCCATGCCACAGTGCCTCACAGCAAAGCCTTCATCAGTAGTGTTTAGTTTATGTGTGAATGTATGTGAGTGTGCGGGGTGGGACACATCCCGGTGGGACACGCCACGTGCAGGCATCCGGCCAACTCGAGTGGGTGGGCAGAGGGCACCCCCGGGGCCAGACGCCTCCCTCCTGCTAGGCACCACGTCAGAGGGCGGGAGGAAGAGCTGTGCCTGCGACCCTTCCTCGGGGCTAACGTGGATGCCAAAAAAACGCAAAAATGAATATGTAGGAATGATAAATTCCTACTGTGTCTTTGTAAGGATATTACATTTCCTAGAAAAACCTGTGAAAGCAGGTACATTTCCCATTTATGCTCCTGCAAGAGGAGGCGCGCGTCCGAGAGCGGCAAGCGGCGGATGAGGCGGCGGCTGTGTTCCTACCGTTACCCAGTCTCCGGCCGGCCCCGCGCACACATCTGGGGGTAAGGCTCACCGGACTTGCGTGCAGAGGGTGTTTTCTTCCACAATAAGAAGTAATAAAATTAATTGATATAGATGTGCCAATCTTTAATTTTGTAAATGGCACCTGAGATTCCTTTCTGTGAGTTACATTTTTAATGTAAGAACATTATCAATGGGAAGACATACATGGGAGCAGCTAATGCAATGATTTTGAAGTAATGTTTTTACTATTTTATTTTTAAAAGGTATAAGAAAGCATGTGGTTAAAGCTATCCTATGAGTCATTAACAACATCCTTACAACAGTTATTTTAAAAACCAGGATTAAGTTGTAATATCTGTATTATATAAAAAAAAATATTGGACACATTTAACAAACCCTAATCTTTTGTCAGGGTATCAACATTTTTTGCTACTATTTGTAGGGAATACTGCTATTTTACAGCTGTTTGGCATATGCCAAACTCCTCCAGGCAATATATTATCTAGGTAGGGACAAAATGCATATGGACTTATCACTGTCACCAAATTGTTGCCTTTTTTTTTGTTTTTTGGCATCTACATGAACTCCAAGGAAGTTCATATTTACAAATGAATAGATACTCAGAATGTTTTTTTCAAGAGAGGGAGCCTGTAATACTGCTCAGTACCTAGTAAGGGTTCAATCTGTATTTGTTGAGGAAAGAATAAACGAAGTTTATGATCAGACCCGCAGAGGCGGAGGCGACCGAGGCCATGGAAAGTGGGAACGCCGCCCCGGTGCTCCCGGCACGGCCCGAGCTTCACAGCAGGAACGGGACCCTTCTTGCGCCCCTCAGCCGACCGGGAAGCACGGCCTGCTGCTTCTCAGTGCACGCGCGCATTCTCCTAAAGGTCACCGCTCGGAGCGGCCCCCCTGCAGAAGTACTGCCGACAAGGAACCCAGAACCAAACGTGCGGGTGTGCACGGGCGTCGGCGTCCGGCCTTCACCACCACGACGCCTTCACACGCGTGCGGCCACGGTACCTGTGTTTGTAGAGGTAAAACGCAAACCCGGATAAAATTAGGGCGAAGAACGGAACCAGGATGGCGGCCGCCACCGAGCCGCTGCTCGTGCCGTGGTGCGGATGGGAGGCGTCCCGGCCAGAGCCCAGGGGACCTGGAAGACAGAAGCGAGAGCCGCGGGCAGTGACAGCGCCCCGGCGCGGGGCGCGGCGCGTCTTCCCGGAGGACGTTGCCTGCGCCAGAGGCAGAAACAGGGGCCACCCGTGAACGACTGGCTGCCCTCTGTGACGACTTTACTATGACCTTGGTGACCAAGCTTCACAAAACCGCTTATTCCTCAGGAACACACAACACCGTGGTGGAGTCCCATACTTCGAGGGCAGGAAAGGTGCTTGGGCTTTTCATTAGAGGTGTCTGCGTAGACACTGACGGGAAGCGTCTACATGCAGGGAGGGGGCCGCACACACGTGGTTACACCTAAGTCATGGGGATAACACAAGCCTTCCTGGTCTGCACAGACACGCACTGTGCTCCCCACGTGTGGATATGCTCGTGTGATGCACTTCTATTTTAAGTAGATGCCAAAATTCATTACATTGTTTAGAAAATAACCCAGAGTAAGAAGGCAGCTCAATGTCACAATTCAAGATCCCATGGAGATACAAAGCAGAGATAAGACATGATCTGTGTCCACTAGAAGGGAGGCGATGTAAACACATCTCTAATCACTGATGGCAGCCCATACGCACAGAGAGGCAAATACGTGTATGGCATTGAGAGAGATGCAATCGCTGAAAATTCAAATCAGAAGACATTAAGTGATTATCGCCCAATGTTATGAGGTTTCTTCTCTAAAAGTTTATTTATAAAATATGATTTTGAAATGTTTTTGGCTTAATCATATGGGCTCACTCAATGCACGTGTGTAATGAATTACGAGAGGGGGCATCTAAAAATAGCAGAATTGTTCAAAAGAAGCTGACCTGGTTTTAGAAGCATATTTCCATAATTTATGGAATATTAGATAGAAATAGAAGTCTTATTTCATTTTTTTTTTACAAACCACTAACATGGATAAACAACCAAATATTTAAATAGGTTTTGAAATAAAACTTCTTGAGTTTTCACATGCAAACTTTAAAACAATACTGTTCATGGTGTGCTTCAGTAGATGCAGGCTTATGTTATTTTCTGCAGGAACACACTTCCTCTCTGAGGTTGGCTCTTTGTAAGCCAGCCGTGTTTGTTTCAGATCCTTCCCTCTCGGCACATGTGAACCAGACTGGAGTTTCATTTCCAGACTCAGTCACCACCCGACGTGCAGGGGACAGTGCAGGTCCTAGGTCCCTAAATAGCTCAGCGCTCAGGGGACGGGTATGTGAGTGGGGCTCAGCCACCTAGACACTCCCCTGGGCACGAGCTTTGGAGCCAGTGACGTGAGCGTCCTGCCACAGCCCAGGCTCATCCCTGTGGCTGTGGCTAGCCCTGGGTAAAGCACCCAGTGTCCCCTGGTGTGTCCAGCCACAGTGGGTAGAGTCCAGGTGCAGCGGCGTGGCAGTCCCACCCAGCAGTCAGGGGTGGTGGCACCGTCAGCAAGGCCAGCCCCACTACACTGCCAGGTGGCACAAACGCCATAGATCTGTGTTGGCAGCTAACTATCAGGACATCTCAGCTGCTGAGAACAGTGCCAGGCAAGTAGCAAAGATTTGCACCTATCTTCTCCCATTCTGTTTGTGTGTGGACTGAGGTCGGGGTCATTCAATTTTAGTGGGGAAGCCAACTTATTGTTCAGTATTTTACACAAGTTTTTGCAGTAGAGTTGTCTTTCAAACTAACTTGTTTTAGTATCTATTTAATGATAATCACTTTTTTTTCTCCAGTTTATCTACTGACTGGGGACAATTAGAGGTTCCTTCCTTTTTTCCATAAAAATAGGGTTTAGCCATAACTCTTAAGTGAATAGTTGTTGTTGACGCATTACTTAAATATACTTTTGTAATTAGTTGACTGGGAGGCTTGCTTGTGATTCAAATTATTTTGGGAGGCAAATTGTTTTTCCTGACAATAAGCTCAGAATAAAGATTACTTGTTATAGCAAAATGTTGTTTTGTTAGATTAAAAAGAAATGGTGCAATGCGCAGGAAATTTGCAATAGATAGACCACGTCAGACTCACTGGATGAGTAAACTTAGACTGTACAGAGTATGTTGTACAGCTGGCTGGGGTGTCCTTAAATTAAATTACTAGAGTATGTGGCATGAGAAAAAGGAGGGCAAATAACTGCAGGGATCGGCTAGAGCGTGAGAAAACTGTCCATTGTGAGTGCTGGCCTAATGCATTTATTCTGTTTCATTCCCTTAAAATAACATAACCCAATTTATAGCATCATTTCAGCCATTGCTGACATAATTTAAAGCTCCTCTCCTTCAAAATACTGAGTTTGGAATGGTAGACTAAGTATTTTATGATTAATTATCCTTTTTTTCAAGTACTGAATAGTCAAGTACTTTTTTAAGTATGTGAACATACAGACTGGTATACATTTCCTTTGGAGTCCTTCAATATCTTGGTAACAAGTCTTGTGAAATGAGTTTATCAGTAACAACCGTGGCAAAATTGTACGTCCATGTTCGTCTGAGAGGTGGCTATGGTGTGTAAGGCGATATGGCAGTATTCCTCTCCATAAAGTTAATCTGTTAGCAGTGGTCCACAAGTGTAATGCAGTTTATACTATGCAGGACAAATATGGTACTAATCCCATCAGAAAATGCATTTTCTCATCTGTGTGAGCAAGAACAGTGGTGCCTCTGTGTGGAGGGCTTGAGCACAGACACAAAATGCTCATATTGCTTCTTGACTCTCCCGGCAACCTGGACCCGACTTCTCTGCTGGGGTTTCGGGTGAAGAGACAGGCTCGAGGGTACTGGGAGGTCATTCTGGTCTCAGAGCCAGCACGTGCAGGAGCTGCGAGGCTTGTCCAGCGCCTGGGGTCCACAGATTTCCTCCTCTAACAACCAAGGTGAACGTCAAGGAGCAGAAGAGACAGCGGAGGAAGGAGCCCCTGCCTAGCTCTGGCTCTGTGGTGAGCTTCTTGCTCAGATACCCGCCGTGGAGAGATGCCCACGCCTTCATGTAGCTCTCCTCCCTTTAAGGGAATATATACTATGCGGGGTTTTCTGTTTAATGTAATAGGTTGCATATCATGATTTATATAAGCAATTCCTCTATGGTAGATATGTAGGGTTCACAGGTTTTTGTAATCTCAACTATTAAAAATAGCCCCACCTCAGTCAGCCCTGAATAGGCAAACAACAATTTTCACAGTAGTCTGACTGAAACTTCTAGAAAGAACTATCGGCTGAGAGTTTCACCAGGCTGTGCATGTCCACTCATACATCCCCCAAAATGGACTCCCCTGCGCCCGTCTCTACCATTTCCCCAGAATAATCCCTTTAACACTTTGACACTCTAGTAATTAAAAGTGATCTATGTCTGTTACCATAAAATGCGTTTTTTGGAAGCGGAAGATCTTTCATCATTTGCTGGCCGTTCCTATTGCTCTCCACTGTCTTTGGGAAATGCAGTTTGCTTAATTTGTTCATTGAGTTTCATCTCTTTCCCCCCTTATTTTTCATATCTCTTTCTGTGGTGAGGATCTAATTCTGTATCTGGCATATTTATGCATTTTTTTCTAGCTTTGCCCTTGTTAAGTTCTACTAGTCAAAACTGCTTTTTTTCCTTTTTCCTTTAGTCATAAAAAATGTTAGTTTCTCCTGATATTTTTATATTTCTTCTGGTGTCATGGCCTTTTCATTACTTTTCAGCACAATCATCCAGTAGCCAAATTAATATTTGGGTAAAAATAATCTAAGTGCAATTTACCTTGCCGCTCCAGCTTGAATTTTCCAAAGTCTTTTCCATGTACATCACCTTGAAAAGTGAATCCCCCTCTGTCAAGTCCTGATGAGACCTGGTTTGAGAAAAGGAGGGAAACCGTGCAGAGGTCGGCTTGTGTCACATGGGGTGGGGACGTCTTGCAGGGGCTCTGGGTTGAATGCTTTATTTTTGGCCTTCCTTTTCACTGACACATTGGCAGCCATTAGAGAATAAGTATAAACTTAATGAACATATAAATTCACACTGTTTCCCCTGGTCTTGAAGATGCTAGTAAATTTTACAGCCTATTCATAGGTTGAGTATCCTTTGTAAGGGGGACCCATGTCTGAATTAACCTACACTGGGTAAGGTGCACTGTGACACAGGCTAGGCCGGGAGACCTCCTGCGAGGCTGTGTACTCATGTCAGACACTGAATTAGAACCGAGCAAATGTTTACTCATCCAAGGGAGACATTAGGCACCTCAGGTCTGTCTGCCTGGAGGTGACTGTTCTGAGAGCTTGCAGAGGGGCTACCCCATGTCCCAGGGAAGTCTTGGCAAATGTGCTTCCAAGGGAATGTGCGGCTGGGAAGCACAGTAGCTGATCTGAGCTCTAGCCCCATTCCCCTGCAGCAACGGCCCATTTGCTCTTGGCCAACTATTTTCCCAGTTCAGAGACTAGGTTTTTTACACCATGACATGAAGGGGAGAAGTGGCCGGGCTTCTGGGAAGAGGGGCAGCTGAGCTTGCACGGGGCAGACACAGGCGGCCCTCTCGGAACCGTCTGCCGCATGCTGCTCCATGCAGACCATGAGGCCAGGGCCCCTGGGCTCTGGACGCCCACATGCAAAGTACTTACATAGCCGTCCAGTCCCCAGTTGTCGTTCTCAAACTTGCTGACAAAAATGTCCACCGAACCTTTAGTCTGAAAAGCTTTCAGAAGTACGTGGGCCTCTTCCTTCTTGTAAACACCTACAAAAAGGTCAGAGCCACTACCAGATCAGATGTGGGGACTAGCAAACGAGTAGCAGCTCAGGCCGTGGGCCGTCTGATTTGGCACACGGTGCAGAGATCCTAATACTGTAAACAACAGAAACCGCTGTTTTTATTTTCACATTTTAGCCTCTGTACTTGTTTCCTTAAAATGATTTCCTACTCAAGTCCTCGCCCACCTTGAACGACAATCTACTCGCTAAAGATAAAGAGAACAAAGATGAGAGGCATTCAATTATGTTAATGTTTAAAATCCAGCATGTTTTATGCCTGTTTTGCATCCTTGTGAGGAGAGGAGCCCACACTGTACCCCACACGGGGTTAACCTAGGAACACGAACTGCACCCGTGGCAGGGAGCGGCCGCAGGGGCACCCGCGGAGTGTGCTGGCCGCTGTGTGGGAGGATGCGGGCAAACAAGGACGTGGAAGGTACTGAGTGGCAGTGAGCCGCCTGCGAGCCCCTGAGCATGAGATTCAGCCATGAGGAGACGCTGTGTCCCTCTGGCTGCGACTGTGGGCTCTGGCTTCCAACTCTCCCTCTGCCCTGCCCCCTGAGGGGCCACTGCAGTTCCCAGGTTTCTCTCAACCTCTCTTATCAAAAGAAGGATTGATGCAAGAATGAAAAATGTATGAAAAAAGCTTTAAAAAGTGTCTGACAGATAAATCAGAGCTCTTGTCATTTTACTGACTCACCAGGGGCACGTGAGTTGGAAACAGGATACCGAAGGGGTGATGTTGGGGACATGCGCAACGGGGCAAAATCTTACAGCTTTGACTGGATAGGTCACATGCAAAACCTTGAGCGAATTAATTCCCTTTTCACAGCTGGTTTTGTAATCTTTAAAAATGAGAAAATCATGCTGACCCAGCCTGGTTACTGAGAGCCTCCCATGACATGGAGGTTGTGCAGGGCCAATGTACACTCAGGAGCACTTCATAGATGTGAGCCCCCTCCTCCTCAGCAGGGCTGGGTCCCTCTGCTCACACAGCCTGGGTAGTGAACCCCCGGGGGGCCTACCTGTCAATTTCAGCTCCACCCGAGAGGCATCGACGAGCGTCGCGTTCACCCTAGTGCTTGTTGCATTGAACCAGTCCACAGTCAGAGTTGCAGCCTGTCTTTTCCCTAGATATTCGTAATATCCTTTCCACACGGAGTTGATGAAAAATACATCGGAAGGAACTGTGGGATGGGAAAAACCAGAAGAATGTCAACATACACAGAGGAAGTAGCCTCGGGTATTTTAAAGCACAGAAAGCATAAAATCATTGAAGTTCATTTGGGACAGGAATACTTGCAAAGATTATTGAGATATTCTCTCGTTTCCACTGCTTGTGAAAAAGCTCAAACTTCTGTTCCTCGTTTCTGCTCATAAATGTGTATAAAACTGTGCCTTTTCACAATATTAATATAAAATCTCACACTATAATTGGTGTAAATGTACATGAGTGACTCCACCGGTTTTCTCTTTGCTTCTGGCCTCATCATGTGCCTAAGCTGTTTAATTAGACAGGATCCACTACAAACAGAATTGGTCAAAACACAATGTTTGACCTGCTAGGTAGAAATAAAGAGGCATTTATCCCTAAATATCTTTTTTAGCAAATCCATTCTGAGCAACCGATGCTGAGGACACAAACACAAGATGCCTGTGTTCATGCTTTCCGGCCATGCCAACCAGCTATTTCCTTATCCCTCACAGGCTAAACCCTACAAAACCTATCCTTGCTGCTGGGGACTAATGAAGAATGCAACCACTTCTGTGGCTTTGAGTACACCCAACATCTTGATAATAATTATTTAAACAATTAAAAACTGCTCTGCCAACACAGGCTGCTAACACATTTGCTTAGTGATAATGGAGATCAAACATGCCCACCTGCCCACCCGCAGCACTACAGAGGCGTGGTTTTAATCAGCAAGCCTGAAATAGCTATTTCCCTTTACTAAGATTAATAGCTTTTAAGATACTATCAAGACTTATTTTCTAAGTTAGCAGGTGTTTGCCCAGCAGAAGCTAGTGATTGGCCCCTCTGGGCCACTCACTGACGAGCAACAGAATAACGGGAGGACGGTAGCTTCTGCAGGCGTCTGGGCAATGACGCGTGTGCATCCACACATGGCCGTCAGTCCTGCGGTAGGGCGGCCTGTCCGGGTCCTTCCCATCCGACCTACCATGGCAGCATGCAGTGCATCCACCACCAAATGCCGCAGTGCCCGCGCCTGCCTTCTTGACTAGCATGTCCCTCCGGGAACGGGAAGAGGCACTGACAGGGGCCACGTGACGAGCATGCCCCCTCCCTGGGGATGAGAAGATGCGCCGTCGGGCACCACGTGATGAGCACACCCCTCCCCTGGGATGGGAAGAGGCGCGGATGGAAACCACTTGATGAGCACGTTCCTCCGGGGATGGAAAGAGGGGCTGATGGAGACCACGTGACGAGCACGCCCCTCCCAGGGATGGAAAGAGGGGCTGATGGAGACCACGTGACGAGCATGCCCCTCCGGAGGTGGGAAGAGGCGCCGACAGACACCACGTGACAAACACGCCCCTTCCAGGGAGGGAAGAGGCGCCGACGGACACCATGTGACCAGCAGGCCCATCTGGGGATAGGAAGAGGCGCTGGTGGAGACCACGTGAAGAGCACGCCCCTCCGGAGGTGGGAAGAGGCAAGCTGGTTACATCGGCGGCACTTTCGGAGACCGCCTGCGGCTCTTTCAGCACCTTCAATAAAGACAAAGCCAGCAAACAGAACCAACAGCCACAAAGGGCTGTTTTTTCTTCCATTGGAGACAACCTTGCGTGACTATATGGTTTGATTTCTGAATCCGATTTGTAAAATAACATCCAGGTACAGTTGTCCACAAAGTTTAAAAAGTAGCTCTCGCGCCGGACAGTCTACACCGGCAACAGCCCTTTAGTCCTGCTGGACCACTTCTGCCTTTTCTAAGAGTTCACGGGGAACGCATCTGACTCCACAACAGCGCTACACGGACATGTGCCCATTTGATTCTAGAGGAGACCGTTGTGTCCAAGACACCAGAGTTACAACCTCAGGACACTAGGAAAAGGATCTTTCATCTTTACAGAAGCTTTCTATTCATGTAAATAAAAAATTTTTTGGTTTAAATTTTCATTCGGGGACACACGGTGTTAAATATTCTCTGAATTTGTCACACGGGCACACCACGACCGACGATGCGGAGCCGGGACCGGGCTTCCGACCAGCGGGCGCCGCACGGCGAGGTGCGGGGCTGAGCGCTCGGCGCGACCCGCACGCGGCCCAGCGAAGCGGCCCTGCCTGCCCGCCGCCCCCGCCGCCGCCTCCCAGCAGGACTCACAACCCTCTCTATAAGGCTTTCCGTCATATCACGGCCTATCACCAATGTTTGTGCCCGTTTCTGCCCACAAAATATGGAGGCACCGTTCGCGGAGCCGTGTGGGAACACGCCCGCTTACTTGGGAGCGGTGTTTCCTGAACAGCTGCCGATGGCGGGGCTGGGGGTCTGAACCGGCTCGGTGCTGAGTGACAGAAACATCACCTTGGCTCATGGACGATGGGGACCAGAAATTTTCAGGCTAAAATTTGCTTCACTGTTCCGAGAAGGGGACAGATCACTTCATTTGATTTAGATCTATGACTGTTCTGTTATACAAACCTGGGGTTTTAGTAACTTTCATTAACTTCTCTCACTCCTTTACCTACAAGTAAAAAAACAAATTATCATTTTCAAAAACATTTATTTTTGAGTAAGTTTGAAAAAAATGTCAAATTGAAGCAATTTTCCTTTCTTCAGATTTCTTGAATATACAATAAAAAATTAATCTTATACAGATCCATTTTAAACCCATATATTTAGCAGAATATCCTTTGTGTCTGTTGGAAAACTGAGTTTATTGGTGAAAATCAGTGCAGATCTAACGTGTATTTCCATTTAGTGCTACAACAAGAGAGCCTTACAAATAAGGGTGGTGTACATCCATTTTCTGACTGTTTGGGATAGGCTGCCCCCAACTAATTACAAAATAACCAAGATTTCGTGAACTCTCTTAATTTTCCAAATTCCTACACAAATCAATGAGCTTGCAAGGTAATACTGAATAACACCTAATTATTTCCCTTGCAGAGTGTTTAATGTGGTCTACCACATTAGATTTTACTCATAATCTGTTAGTTTTTATAGTTTTGTTTCATACTACAAATCGCCATTTTTGCCAAGTTTGCATCCTTGTATTTCTGACAGAGAAGGGCTAGGTAACCATGAGGGTCTGGAGAACTCCTAATTTGAGAACTGTCACCAGGCTCCAGCAAACGAAGATGAAAGTCACGGCTTCGATCACACCTGTAATTTCCATTATGCTGTTTAGGAATCGATGCACATATAATCTGTGCTTGGTGGGGAACTAGAAAGGTGAGCTATCATCAAATCTGTCCCAGAGTTATTACTTTCATATGTAAATACACACACTTGTGAGTAATTAATACACCATTTCTAAGTTAATTAGTCTTCAATTTTTAAGAGTAGAACCATTGTCAAAAACTCCTAAATTTATATTCTACTACCAAGCAGCTTGTGGTCTTAAAAATAACAGAGATTTTATCTATTCATCAATGCTCAATGATTTTTGCCCATTTTCATTTTGAAAAAATATGGTTTCTAAAAATATATATAGTCCTTTACCTCATAATGCTTTTCCCTTTGGCTTACAATGTGATGAGCGGATATAAAATCCGCATCTCTACCTGGCCTGTATCACATGCTTGGGCACNCTGACAGCAGCCGCCCCTCCCTGGGCCCTGTGGGAATGTGCTCTCGCACCCCCAGTGACTCACTTTTACAGACAGGACATTTCCCCGTCCATTTCATATCCGCTTTACACGTCCTGTGTTCAGATCCGCCTGCCAGGAAGAAGCCCAGGTGGCCCGTGTACACCAAGGTGTAACTGAAGGCAAGGAGGTCGATGGCTCTCACGTCCGCGTGGGCTGGCGTTTCTGGCTGTCTGCAGGTGTGTGCTGAAAAAGCATGTATTCCATTAGGGCACACAGAATCTTTGTGTGTTACAGAGCTAGCGTATCGTCTAAGAAAATAGAGAAGTAAAGCACACATTTGGAAATGGCTGTGATAATAATTTTGAGCACAGTAGCTTTAAATATCACCACTATTCCAGTGTCTGCAACTTTCAACATGACAAAGGTCATGTGCTAGCCCTCTGGTCCTCCCTCCACACCCTCTTTCTTGTCCTTCCCACCCCCTCTCTATCTAATCTGTCTCTGTCTGTGTGTATCTCTCCTTCTCTCCATATATGTGAGTGTGACTAATTATGTATAGAAATTTAGAATAGAAATCATAGCTTTGAAATACACAGATGACATTGGATACACTATTAAGAAAAGTGGTGTGCTAAATTTCCTTAAAAGACCAGTCCTACAAAGTAAATATGTACATATTGACACCTATTTAGAAATATGTCTTGATTTTTATCTGATGGCAACTAGCAAATTTGCTGTTCAGTTAAATGAATAAATAATTTTAGCAAAAATTCAATGTGCATTTTAAAACTTAATGGAAATAATTAAAATATGATTTCCTTAAAAATGGAATTTAGCATAAATAAGATGGTAATGTTTAAATCTCAAATAACTTCCCATTCTTTATAAAGTTCGCATTTATGTCTCAAGTAACAGAGTTGGCAGATGATTGTACATATTTACGATATTAAAATCATGACTGCCAAGTGTTCAAGCATTGTGGTATTCTGCTCTTCAGCAAATTTTCAATGTAGTGAAGACTTGAGATTAGCAAGCTCCATAGAATATTTACACCATGAATGCATACATATGCATACATATGTAGACATGTATGTGCAATGTCCTCATATGCAATGACTATTAGAGACGATAGTTTGAAATACACATACATCTGATAATACTGGTAAAATACACAAAAAAATCCCATCTTACATACTACTAAAATATTTTTTGTAACATCCTAATGTTTTTATGTTTTATGTTTAACACAGTAAGAGTAAGATACTACATTTCACTAGATTGATAGAGGCTGAAAAATTGACTTATTAATCATTCCTACAACATCTCTTCTAAACTCATGATTAAGTCACAAAATAATATTTGATCCTAAGTAACTATTTGAATGATCAATTCATACAGAGTTCAAGAATGTTTTAAGCTTTTCTATGAATGCTCTGACATATCACAGGTCATGTCAATCCCTTTAACAACATGACGCAGACACTCTAGGAGGATGTCGGTGTGCAGGGGACGTCTCTCTCCACGAATGTCTCCGGTGATGCCACTCACTCAGCTTTGACTCAGGGCACTTCCTCAGACCTCAGTGGGCCCAGTGCTGCTGGGAGGCCTGCTATACCACAGGCTGCGCTCTCCTCCTCACCCCCACCTGGTCCAGCCCCCCGAGTGTCTGACCCAGTAAGTCAGGTGTGGGTTTCGTGGTTCACATTCCTACCAAACTCCCTGGTGGTGTAGATGCTGCTGGGTGTAGGGCATCCAACTTTTGAGAAATATTCATTTAGGGAATTAAAAACAAGCAACAATAAGGCAATTCCTCATTACTTCTCTTGAAGGTAAACAGTTCCTAGATGTTTGAGAATAAACAGGTCACTGCTGACAGTGAAGAAACCACACTTACGTATACACTCAGTCTGTATTCCACTCCACGTCAAATTGGCGAGGCAAGTCCGAGTCGTAGAACCTTGCACGTGGTAACCTTTCCGACACCTAAAGAAAACTGTGCTTCCGACCTAGAGAAGAAATGCAGCACTAGCTTCAGAGGCAAAACGGACGACAGCAATCTATGCAAGTCGTGCTGGAAAGCGCGGTCCAGGGTGCAGCATGCCGGGGTAGTTTCATTCCATACCAGGCCCCAGTGGCATCAGTGACTCACTCTGACTGTGTGTTAAGGTGTTGCACACAGTGTGCATAGTGCAAGGTCCGAGACAGAGCTGTGAGGTGGTCTGTCTGGGGCGCGTAAGTGCGCTTTCTCTCTCATTTCAGCCTTGCTTCTCTTTAGTTTGTAGCGATTGGGTTTTCCCTTTTCCATGTTTTCCTGCAACTCCTATTTTAAGTGACTCACATTGCTAGCAAATTACTTTTGTTAACATTCTGGGAGCTGGCCAGCTCTCGCTCTATCATGGGACCTTCAGAACTCAGTCTGTCTTGAACCTTCACATACACGGACCCTTTATTGCTGCACCGATGCCTGAAATGCCTCCCCCCGGACCTCCACCAAGCTGATTGCACTTAGTCCTCAACACTTGCCTATTTCACTCCTCTGTACACTTTCTGCAGGCCTTCCAGGGATGTGTCATGTGCTGCTCTGCCCCATCATCCCAGCAGAAGATGCCCCCGTGTCACTGATGATATGTACCAGAAATGCTTGTGTATGGCCTGTTTTCCTAGCTGATGGGAAGCACCGTGCAGGGGAGCTGCCCAGTGGCCAGTCCACCTGCTTTAGGAGAGTGAGCTGTGGTCACGTGCTGAAAGGAGTCTGCCCTCCTCTTCTGTGAACACTTACATGGAGCATGAGACTAGGGCATGCGCCCGGGGGGGCAGAAGCCAGCGCTCAGAGCCGCAGCGGGGCCTGGGAAGCAGCTTTGTGCACATGGTAGGTGCCCTGGGACCAAGCTGGAGCCTAAGGCTTCAATCACAAAGCCAAGGAAACATACAGTGAGAGTCCATCTTGGTACTTGCTCTGAGGATCTAAACCAGGCATGGATCCCTCTAGGTGTGTTTCCTCATCAGGCTCAGTCCTATCTCCTGCCTTAGGATTCAGAGGAAAATATGAGTAAACATGTGGCAGAGATGCTACACTAAATAGTGGTGAAGGGTGTCAGGAAAAAACAGTTGCTGCTTAGCACTGGCACCTGAAAGTAGGGGGAGGAATTTGTGAAAAAAATCATCCAAATTTATGTAACCTTCAAGGGAATCAATAATTTGAGATTCAAAGATGGGAAGGGTTCATTCACCCATCACCTCTTTCCCAGGACGGCCTCCATCTAACTTTTGGTATGCATGCCGGTCCCCAGGCAGACCTCCTAGCCAACACACTAGCATTTTTCCCTGGCAGGAAGATAACCGGGAGGCTTTACCACATACTGGCTAGAAGAAAATAATAGTGCCCTTAGTAAAATATCTTCAGCAGGATATACCAGGCCACTCCAGACTGATGACTGTGAACTAACCAGGAGTCTGTGAATCTGTGGGGCATGGATGGATGGAAAATGGGAGCTAGTCACGCCGACTGCATGAGTGATGTAGTGTGACCCAGGGATGCCCTCACACCGAAGTGGCCGACGGGTGAGTAATGTTGCAACATATGGCGCTAAAGGAATTGTGTGAAAGGCAGATCTGCTACACTCAAAATCCAGATGTATCCTGATGAAGGAAAAAAAAACGTTTTTGGGAAACTCCTCTGATGGTCTCGGCCAGCTCTTCACAAGAAAGCATCTGTGTATTCAAATCACTGGTAAATAGTGCTTTTGGGTATGATACGTTTTTCATGCTAGCGTAACTGTATAGTGTCAGAAGGGGAGTAAAGGATTTATCCAAGCCTATTACCTTCTTAAGATAGACCATAGGATACGCTGCTGAGTACAATCACCATAAATGTGGACTCAGTGTAGGCTGTTTGGGCAAAGCAGGACTGCTGAAACCAGGGTTTGGTTTTTCATAGTGAATTAGTGAGAGCTGTGCCCCCACTGTATTTCCCAGTGTCCCTGTGTATTTGGCATCCCACATCCATACGCCTGAAAGCGTACACCTGAGGCTTACAACCACATTTGGCACCTCATATACATGTGCCAGATTTAACCTGCAGGTACCTGTGAGAATTTCCTTTGCAGACGACAAGAATGCCCACAGGAAGTGGCCAGTGTGTGTCCCAGCCACTCACACGCAATTATTTTAGTTTTCAGGAGAGAGAAGTGGATGAAGAAAAAAACTTCTATTCTAAACTAACAGGATTCCTAACTCAAATATAATCTACATATTTAACTCAAATCCATCTAATCAGAGAGCCCTGAAGTCACTTGAATCCTTAAGATGATTGACACACTTTATTTAAAGCTTCATTACCTTCCATTTTTAGGTATTCCGCTAATATTACCTGAAGTGCTAATGGATTTTTTATTGAAAAAATCAAACGAAAGCTCAAAAGTGATATTGAGTATGCTAGCTATTAATATAGGTAAAAGAGATCATATGGAAAAAGATCACAAAGTAAGCTTAGACTACAGGTTATGAATGCATTTCTTCTTCTGTTTAGTCTCTAGAATTGAATGCTATGCATCCACTATATAAAGTCACTAAACAAGCTCTTTTTATGTTTATCTCTTCAATGGTAAGTCACTCCAATTTGAGAATTATCATGTCAGTTCTTCAGACAAAAAAATGAACTATTATGCATGTGTCCAAACTGAAATTAATACAGCAATTGCTGTTGTGTGAATTAAGATATATACAGTTACCCCCATTCTGACCTTAAGATATCATGCAGAAACCCTCTCTGAGTTATTTTAATTTAGGCAAATACAGCATGAATCAGATATGATACATAAAAATATACACGTGTTTAAGTATCAGTTACATTTTATACTTACAGAAATAGATAGTAAAATGGAAATTGAATACCTCATATCCTCTGGAGCTATTTTGTATTCCAAAGTGTGGAGTACCCGGGTCTGGGCAGGTGTTATGAGTAGGATCTGAAGTTCACAATTAAAAGAAAACAAAAAAACAGCACCAGTTATGTTTAGTATAGGAATTCTAACATTTTTCTAAAAGGTGTTAGAAAATTGTGTTTTGACAAATGTGTACATTTTGCATGAAAGGTAAAAATGAGTAAATTGCTATATTCATCTTCTTTCAGACTTCTTTAGGTATTAATCTTTAGTGCTTTATCAGGCTCTAAGTTACTCTGCAGATTATTTTCTGTATCAGAAGAAGCATGTTCTTTTCCATCCTCTGGTTAAATGTTTTTCTACTGACAAATTATATTGGTTGGTTAATAATATACTACTTCCATGAGTATTATGATCCCTTAGTTTTTAAGGATTCAGTGAATGGCCAGCTCCTCTGTCATCCACATTTCCTGAATTAATTTTCCTCAAGACTTCGAAATGAGAAATATATTTACTGCTTCAAAGTTAAAGCATATGGTAGATTGAAAGCAGCGTTTTCCCCAAAAAGGTAAGACTTGAGCAACTGAGAGACTGTGGGCTTATCAGCTGCTGCGCTCCAGCTGCCAGAAAGAGAATAAAACAGATCACTTGCTAAAAAGTTTTGTTCTCAAGAGAAACTAACCTACGGGGTTGGTGGGGAGAAGATGTTTTGTGTGTGTGGGGGGCGGGGGGGATAGCTCCATACAGCTGAAGTGTAAATCAAATGGCAATAAACATTCCTATCATTGGAAAAAGTGGTGCTTCCAAGAAATTACTTCTAAAAGTGTTTATTTTTAGTAAGAAATCATCCAATTTGTTAGAAATCAACCAAGAACATAAATCATTGTTTTCTATAAATATGCAAAATATCCACTCTTCTGCTCAGGAAGGCTGGGTGAACAAAATTTACCCAGCACCAAACGAGCCTGCAGCCGTGAGGGGCAAAGACAGCTGTTCTGGGGCAGAATTAACAGTCTGGTTTCTATGCCCCTGAGAGTGTGACTCCCGGCAAATGTAAGTTCTACCAGACAGATTTCATCTAAAACCGAGGGGTTTCCGTCATAGAGGTCACCCTGCCTTGCGGGTCTCCTCCTCACCCGCTAAGGTCACTGGGACAGGCCTGCTGAGTCGCCCGGTCCCCTCCCCACCCAGGTCCCCGTCCCCCTGGGCCACGATCCCTACCGATGCAGGCGGGCTGGACGCCGCTCCACGTGCCGTCGGCCTGGCACACCCTCCACGGTGACCCCACGAGCACGAAGGGGGCCCGGCACTGGAAGAGGACCTCAGATCCGTAGGTGAAGCTCCGGCCGCTCAGCCGCCCGTCCGCGGGGGTGCCCGGGTCCCCGCAGAACACCGCTGCGGAGACGGCAGGGTGAGCAGCCCGCGGGCTCCCCGGGCCTCCCTCCCGCCGGCCCCCACCCCTGACTCACGCAGGCACCGCGGCGGCTCCCCGCGCCACTCTCCGCGGCCCTCGCAGGACAGGACGGCGGCGTGCGACGGCTGGTAGCCGCGGGCGCAGCTGTAGGCGATGCTGGCCCCTCAGCGGACGTCGGCGCCCTGGGCGCTCCCGTGCGGCACTGGCGGCGGCGGGCTGCAGGCCACGGCTGCGGGCGACACGGGGCGGCGGGTCGGGACAGGGAGGCTTTCCCGGAGGTTTTCATTAATTCGGGTCAAGCAAAGGCGCAACACGCCCCGCTTGGAGGGGGCAGGCCCGCGACACGCATCGGGCACAGGGCCGAGAGGGCAGCAGGTCCTCTGCCCCGGTTTGCGGTCAGGAGGGCCCCCGAGAGGGTCACGAGGGACAAACCCGAGCGGGGCGCGGTCACCAGGGGTGCCTGCGCGCTTCTGAGTTTGTATACATGGTGGGTAAGAACTTCTCCTGCTACTTGTAGTTTTTGATTGAAAGAATAGAATTTCTAAAAGACACAGACTGCTGACCCCTTGCTGAAGCATTAAAAAAACCGAATTCCTGGATGGGAGAGAAGATGATGTAAATGCCGTGTGCCGGTGTTCATGAGCCTGGGGTCTGAGGCGCGCTGCGTGCACGGGGCCCTGGAGAAGAACACGGTCCTCACGCCGCCCTGCACGGGGCCGCCCCGCACTCCCCGCCTCTGCTGCCGAGGGCCTTCTGCACACGGCCAGAGGCGCTCTGGAAGCGTCCTCCCGAAGGTCCTAGCCCCCTGCTGTCCCCCGCGGAGGGCATTGGCCAAGGCAGTGGGGCAGAGGGGAGGCTGCTGTCCTGTGTGCTGGGCAGTGGCTCGTGTATGCTCACACTCAGGCTTTCGCGAGTGACAGAGACACAGGGTCATGCACTGATTTGCACACGCATGCCCACCAGCTGGAAATGGCCCTTCTCTTGCCATTCTGCCTTCTACCCATCTGGTCATCGTGTCACCTGCTGTCCTTGAGAACCTGTAAGTGATGACTGGGGAACACACTCCGAGGGAGAGGATGTCCAGGGAAGAGGCCCCAGGTAGGCGCACTGGCCGGCCTGTGACTAGCAGGGGCACAGCCTGAGGGAGAGAGGGCTTGTTTGGAAGGGCCCGGCAGGCTGTGGGGTTCGTTACTAACATAGTGGGGATGAGAAGAGGAACAAAGGCCCACAAACACATACATGCTGTCCCAGAGGCCAGACCACGCCACGGCAGCCGCCATCAGATGCCCGCTGGCTGAGAACAAGGCCAGTGCGAGGGTGAGTGTCCTCAGGCCCTGGCTTTGTGGCTGCCTGGCAGCAGGCACAGGACCAGGCACTTGGGGGGCAGGAGCGACAGATGGCGGCGTGTGGGGTCCTCCCCCTGACAGGGACAAGGGGCGTCAGAGGCCACGCTGTCAGAAGGGAAGGGAACCGGGGCGAGTGCCAGGCGCTGTGTGGGCCCCACAGCGAGCCCGTCCACACAGCAGCCCTCTGAGGACAGCACCTCCCTCAGCAGGCTTCCCGGAGTCGGGTACTCCACTCCCACGGAACCTTGTCTGGTCCTGGTCTGAGACACTGGGGCACCATGCGTGTTCATGTCTGACCACTGACAGGCTCGAGCCACCATCCCCTCCACTCTGGTCCAGCTGATGGGGGCCTGCATGTGCCTGCTGGTGCTAGTGGGGAGGCCCCAGTGGTGCCAATCCTGCGCCCCACTGCCCCCCACCCTTGTCACTCGGACCTAGCCCTGCTTTGCTCAAGGTGCCTAGACCACTTCAGCCCGCCCTGCCTCCTGGAAAGCCCAACTGCCTTTTCATGCCGTGTCCCTATTTGGTGGCTTCTTCAGTCCCAGCCACGGAATCCTTCATGTCATAGTACTAACATCCTCTGCCATTGTTTGGGGATTCGCTCCCTGGGTCCTGCACGTCATGGCACTAACATCCTTTGACATTGGGGATTCACTCTCTAACCTGACTCTAAATTCCTGTAATTATGTTTCCCATCACATCTGCTGAAAGACTTTATACAGCTGGGGTTACATGTTTACAAGACTGAGCAACACACAGTGGGACTCAAATCACAGACACAGGGCCAGTGTGACTGCCCTCTGGGTGCTGGTTTGTGGTCCCGAGCATCTACTCTGTGAGAGTTTTCCCATCTGTGAGATGGAGATAAAAGTAGATTAAGAAAATGAGGTGACTTACTATTTGCAAATGGGTTTACAAGAATTCCTAGTGCGGAAGGACTACACAATGCTTGCAAAATGGAATAACACACAGCCCAGGAAAGGCTTCTGCGTGTACGAGGAAGCCAATGAGCGGTGGCACATACCTCTGCAGACGGGCTTGCGGTGGCTCCACGTGCTGTCTTTGGTGCAGCGGGTCGTGGGCGACGCGGCGGGCTCCATGACATAGCCGGGGTTGCACTGATAGCTCACGGTCTTGTTGAACGTGAAGTCCGTCCCAAACTGGATGCCATTTGCCACGGTACCTGGATCCCCACAGCTGATAACTGATGAGCAGGGAACAAAGAAGAATTAGAGAAGTACAAAATTGGTATGCAATGGATCAGTCATGGTTTCTGTTCAAGTTACTCTCCTTAAGCAGCTGTTCAGAGTGATTAAGCATGATTTATAATGGCAAACCTCTCCTCTAACGATTTTACTGACCCACTGTCGGGAGGCTGCGTGCTGGGAGTCTCTTATTTCTGCCCACTGGTGGCCGGCTGTGTGGATGCCGGCTGCGTCCCCAAGCAGCCCTCAGTCAGGCCTGGTGTGAAATCCCAGCACTGAGCCAAGGACACAGACAGGCCGTGGTCAGAGAACCAGCCGCCTCCTCACATCCCTGGAGACTGGACGGTCCACAGGGAGAATAAGCCCTGACATCCTTGGCCTCCATTTCAAATGTCCAGCCCAACTGTCCATTTAAGGTGGTTTCAACCATATAAACAAGAAGGTAAAGAAAAAATCTAAAAATATCTAATAAATGGTCATAATCTCAAACATGCATATTTTTTTTTTTTTTTGCTCTATGTACTAAAAAGCCAGTGAAACAGTTAAAAGTGCTTTCCCCCTCTGGGCGTCTCTGAGGTGGGTGGCCTACCTGTGCAGTCGGGGGCTGTGCCTGTCCACGTCCCGTTGGCCGTGCAGTGGCGCGTCATCAGCCCCGAGGTCGTATAGCCTTCCCAGCAAGAGTAGACGACCGAGCTGGAGAAGAGGACGCCATTGCTGCTGACGATCATGCCGTTGGTTGGGGTGCCGGGGTTCCCGCAGGACACGGCTGAGGGACACAAAACAGTGACACAGAGAGCAACCCACTACTAAAGGACAGAGAGAAGACACCAAAGGCCGTCAGTGCCACAGACGGCACGTTCATTAAGATATAATAGGATGTGCGGGTATGCATTATGTTTAATATGCATGTTACGTTGACTCACACCATTACTCAACTGATGAGTGCAAATGTGAGAATTATACTCTCTTATTATCCTTTCTAATGACTTCTAAACAAATTAAAAGATGAGTTAAAGCATGGCAAATTCAAAGCCTTGTTACTTTGAGATTTAACACATTTATAAAACAAAATAAAATCATTTACTGTTTTTAACAGGATCCATGTGATATCAGCAACTGAGAACATCTCTCTTCACTTGACAGCTGAGTTGGGAAGAAAATCTGGGCAAATCGTCCTATTTTATGTCTGCAGGGTAATTCATTTTGGAAATTCAGGCTGCCCAAGGACTATGAGTGACTGCACTCACTGTTCTGTGAAACAGTCTCCTCACTGTCCCCAGACCTAATGGCAGCTGTCACCGGCCATGGCACGGCATGCAGGCGCAGGCTTCCGGACGGCCGCTGAGGACGGGCAGGGCACCAGGCCGCTCTGCATGTCTCTGTCGTGTGCCCTCAGTCAGCACACAAGGGGGCCCAGCAGCCCCTGGGCGGGTGTCAGGCTGATGATGTCAATCTGTGAGGGCTTTTGCCTTTTTTAGTTGAGCCTATTTACCATAAAGACTCTTATTTTTCCCTTTTCAGCTGTCCCACAAATAGGTATGATAGGCAGACACATAAAAGAATATGACCCTTGGATGGATCTGAATAACAAGGATGTATCATGAGACCATTTCTGAGAATGACCAACACATGTGAAGATGCTCTTGCCTACTTAGTTGATCCACTTTCAAACTGAGGCTTGAGAACAAAGATGCACTCCTCCTCAAATTATGGACGAAACAGACTGCAAATGTCCCCAGAAGCCACCGCCCCGCTAAGGGAAGCTCAGCGAGCTGCCTCCCCCGCTATTACGCTGAAAGCCGTATTGCCCTCGGCTGCACTAGGTCTGAGCTGACAAACGGCACACACGTGCTGCTGCTGAGCTCCCTGGGCCCCTGGCGGGCGTGCTCCATCAGCCCTGGCCCTCCTCCCTGGTGACTGGCCCTTCCCCTGAGTCCGGGCTTACAGTCCTTTCCAGCACAGGTCTTCCAGAAGTGTCCTGGCTGGCACTGAGGGGAGGTCCGTTCACCAAACCTGAAGCATACTATATCTAACATTCTCTGAAGCTCCGAAGTTCTAGGATGACTGTGATATAAATTAAAACTTTACACTATAAAAAACCAGGATGTTGGACTATTCAAGACAATCATTCATTCATTCACCCAACACGGATTCATTGCCTGGTGTGCAAGAGCTGCCGTGTAGCCGTCGTAATGGAGAGCCTCACACAGAGAAGAACTATATGGATCCCGTTTATGATTTAGCAAATGGACCAGACACCCATGCTACTGTGTTTTATTTTGATCATATCTGCTGTTAAAATCTAGGTAGCAGGTTTCCAAAGTCACCTTAAGTAACTAATGCTAAACTGAAACGATTTGGTGAAACATATTCAACTTCAGTTACTGGCAGCTCGACTGTCAGCCACAGGATGCCCGTCAGGACACAGCCGTCCTAACGTTTAGGAAGCCCCTCAGATTCACGGGCAACTTTTTCTTTCCGACAGGGACACTCGCCCACACCTAAGCCTCCGACAGTGACGACTAGGAGACGGTGAACATATCTGCTTTCGTATCAAAGCCATGATGTTTTAAGATACAGGACTGCTACCAAGGAAAAATGAGGGATTAGATTCAGAGGTACTGGAAGGGAAACAAGATGTTTTTAAAATTACAGGTTAAAACTTCTTTTTAAATACATCTTTTCTTTTTAAGTACATTGGGTTAATGTGACTCCTTTATAAGAGATCATTTATTTCACTTGATTTATGATAAGATAGCATTACATTTATTCTGAGTATACTTCATTGTTTAGAAATATCCATACTGTTCACTTAGATGCTGCCTTAGGAAGAGTGCTGTTAAAATGGCTTTGGGTGTTTACCAAGTAAATGTGAGCAATCAAGTTTTTGGCATGCAGGGTCTTTACTGTAAAATAGGTGTCATAAAATTAGTTGCTCCCAGTTGTAAGATAACACATGCTATGTGCAAGGTGCTTAGTGAGCTGACGCTACTGTTTCTGTCATTATAATCATTACCATCGCACATCCACTACCTGAATGAAATGCAGGATTTCTCATCATCTCACGGGAAGAGGATAGGAGGTGCCTAACGCACCTGATTCAAGTACAACCGAAGATGTAGGTGTATGGAGGTGACTTCATGGGGTACAGCCATTTGAAAAGCTAAGACAGTGAGCCTGTGATTAAAAGACCAGATCACCAACAAAAGAAAACAAGACTTGAAGTGATGAAAACATACTAGAAATACAAATTCTTAGATGTCTAATAATTTTTGATAGATTTTCTGTTTGCAATTCATGAACTCATCCTGTTTTTACCATTTACTAAACTGTCCCATCAGAATCTAATGTTTTTAATAGATTCAGGGAAGGTAATTTCATCAGATGGGAGATGATCTGGGTCAGGGGACTGAAGAGATGGTCATGGCCAACCTCTCTAGAAATTAAACAGTTATTGGTGACCCCTCTTTCTATAGAGAGTAATTTATGCCCCCACAATTAGGACATGTGATAAACAGTGAGGAAAAAAAATAGAAAGCTAAAGATTCTACAAAAAGTTGTAAGTGCATACACGTGCGGTGGCGGGTGGTCTCAGTCACGTGTTCCTCGCCTCCTGGGTCACTTCTGTGAGTGTAACGCAGACTATTACACACTCAGGCTCCCACCACTTTGTACAGCGCATCTGTGGATGTAGTTGATTTGTGGGGCATGGGGAGTTTGAGAAGTATTTACGGTATAGTGGAAACATTCCAGTATAAGGAAACACCTGAATTTCTAACTTGAAATAAACCAAATGATATTTAAAAAACACTTTGCATAATGTGAGGTAGGTACCCTTTGAACGAAATCCCTCCTCCTCAAGTGAGTGAGCTCACTTAGGTCTGTCTGGACTAGAACTCACAGAACCACAGCACCAAAGGGACATTTCCATGGAGAAACACGACTGTAAAAGTATTTAATTTCTCCCCCTTTTAAATCTACAAAACTAAAGCATAGAGGTAAACTTGATACAAGATGTAATGTCCCAAGGGAATGACCATACTTAACAGAATAAGAAGGTATCTGAGCTTTGCTGAGCTTTGGGGAGCTATATATTCCCACTAAGTCTAGTTAACTTTTAACCAATAATTTTCAAATGTTTTTCTGCCCCAATCTCTCTCTCCTTTTTCTTCCACGACTTCAAGTACAAGTGTGTTAAGCTGCTCAATGTGATCCCACAGGGAGATAGCGGGCCGGGTTTTTCCCTCCTTTTTTCTCTGGTTTTCAGAATGGATGATATTCATTGACTTGTCTTCAAGTTAACTCACCCTTCTGCCATTTTTCATTGGCTAAAGCCCCCCTAACAAGTTTGTATTTTCTGGTTCCAGGGTTTCCATTTCATTCTCTTTTATTATTTCCATGTCTCTTGAGATTCCCAGTCTGTTTACGACTCTCACTTACTCTAAGTCCCTGACCATCTTTGCAGCGGCTGTTAGGTCCTCACGTGTCCTTTTCAGTGTCCGGGTTGCCTCTGGATGGGCCAGACCTCCGGTGTCTGTTGGGCCCGGGGCATGCTGTCCTGGCTGTGCATCCGCAGCCGCTCCGCGCTGGTGGACACTGTGAACAGGACGGCGCCCAGCTCCCCTATTCCTTTAGGAGCGCTGGCTTTGCTCTGCCAGGCTTTTAAACTGGCTGTGCATCTTCTGGCCCTGCCGCAGTTTATTCCTCATCAGAGGTCTAGCATGGCTTTGCTCTGAGCCCCAGCATGTTCCCCTTATTTTGGGGAGTGGTACATGTTTGCGATGCGGGGGCTTTCTGGGCCTCCAGGAAATGTCCCGAGTGCACAGGAGCGGCCTGACCCGCAGGCGATGTCACGGGCCCACCCTCCACTGCACGCAGCAGATCCTCGCCGCGCTGGTCTCTGGGCACCTGCCACGCAGCCCTCGGCCGGGCCCCCGCGGATGCCTGGTGTTCGTCTGCCGCTCTGCCTTCTTAGCGGCCCCTTCTCAGATTCCGACTCCACAAACCCCAGTTCACAGGCCTACAGTGATTTCTGCTTCATCGCCTCACCAAGCCGCTGGAGCCCCTGGGTCCCCCTTCCTGTCACAACAGGAGAAATCTACAGAATACGGTGATCATGGAGCTCACCTCCTTCCTTTCTTCCAAGGAACGCAGTCATGTACTATGTGTTGTTTACTAACAAAGATAATTGCCTCAGGTATTTTGTTGCTTTACACTTATTCTCAGTAAGAATTGATCAACTACGACCACTTAATATGCCATGAACTGAAGTGGAGGACTTACTTAATTTTCATAATGTTTAAATATATTCTGGGCTGACGGCTCACAGGTGTGGTGTGGGGGGAGAAGGTTAGATGGGGTGTAAATGCAGATTGCACAGTCAGGCACGACTTGCAGGTGCTATGGCATAGACTAGAAAACTTACTGGTTTGGGTGAGAAAAAGCTGCTATCATTCAAATGTCTACATGGGGGAGATTATCTACATGAGAAAACTGACTGAAGAAGAAAACCTACCTATTTATTGTTATAAGTTTCAGTCAATTAAAAAGTATAATCTTGCAGTTCACAGATGCAGGCTGACATTTTCCCACTATTATTGAGTCATATTTGATTTACGTCAACTTCTTTAAGATTTACACAACTTGATTGTGAAGAGGTGATTTGGAGTAAAACATCGTCTTGGATGCAGATGTGTGGCTATACAGATGGTTATCTCCAAGACAATCTTTGATTCAGATGAGAATATATATACACACACATGCATGCACATATGTACGATATATGCTTATGCATATGTATGATATAAATTCATTCTTATTTATACATTTCTATTTCTATATTATGTATTTATGCATTACATGCTTTATAGTATATATATATATAGTATATATAGTATGTAGATTATGCATAATTAAATTATATGCATTATTTTCTATTCATGTATATAACATAATAAAATAAGATGCAGGTGCAAGTATTAATGGCATAGTAGAGAAAATGGAGATTGTGGAAACAATTTATATTCTGGTATTGATATTGTGTGATTTTATTTAAATTAATGAAATATAGAAAGTGTTTCATATATATAAGAATAGGTAATATGTGTAATCATTTTAGACTCAAAAATTAAGTAACTGAGAAGTTTGCAAGCAAAACTATGTACGTTTAGCTGTCTGTTGCAATTCTAAATGAGTCACTTCCTGGACTGTGAACAAAAATGATGCTGTCTTCCCCTCAAGGCAGGCTTTGCCAGGGTGGGGCACAGCACCTGTGAGGTAACCAGGATGTTTCTACAGTTATTACCGGGGTGCTCCACCACTTCCTATCATTGCTCTCAAATATTAAGACAAAATGAGATATACTCACTACAAAATACTACATAGAGAGTCTCCCCCAATTCTTTTGCAATGCAGAGTTCTGGACAAGGGCCACCAACAGGTGGGAGGTCATGTGGACCTGAGGCCCCTTGCAGCCAGCCGCTGGCCAGCCTCCCTCTGCTCCTAGCCATCGCTCCTTTAGCCCAGCTAGTCACCACCAGCAAGCACAGCGTGGCAAGGTCACACAGAGACCATCGTGGGGAGGGGATGAGAGATGTTCTGAGGGTCATGGGCCTCCAAAGGGTGAGGACCGACCACTGCTGTGTGATCTTTTCAACAGTCAGAGCATCTTCACATACCCAGTCATGATTTTTGATGATCCTCCTATACATTTTGGGGGAAATAACTGACTTGTACAAATAGTCTGAATCTCTAGGATTTCTGTGGGCTGATACTGGTCATTTCAGAATGCAAGTCCATGCACCTTCGCACACAGGCTGCAGGCCTGACCAGGACCCGTTGAGCAAACACACCCGCTCAGAGGAGCCCCTCAGCTGGTAGCCCATCTCACAGGAGAAGCGCAGAAGGCTCTTGGTCTTGAACTCATCTCCCAGCCGAAACCCATGCGCCCGGGTCTCCCAATCATCACAAAATCCAGGATTATTTCCTATTGAACATAAACATATAGAGCAATATGCAGTACTGTTAGGACCGCTTAAAACAGAGCTGTTATGTTTAAAGAGAATGAAAAGTTATTAAATCTGTATTGAACATGGGTTATAGTTATGTAGCATCCTGGAAATCTCATGCAGAAGATTTTATGTATATGGGCACAGAAGTGAAAGAGTTTAAGGAACTGTTCCGGCGTGGCTAAGATCAAAATGGCTTATTAAAATGTGGTGACAGGAACTGGTGGTATTCCTTAGAAGAACCAAGACTCTGGGAAGTGTTGGCAGGCTTGTCAGAGGGATACAGGTGAAGGTGTATAGGGGACGTAAGAGACGTCAAACAGGTCTGCTTCTCAGTAGTGTCCAGGTCTGCTGACTCAATGAGGTGTACTTATTTAAGAAATGTTTATGGAAGAATTAAATTGATTTTTTTTCAAAAGAGGATTAATGTAATAATTGATTATAGACAGGAAAGACTTGGAAGAATTGAAAGGAAGCATGGGAAAGGAATAAAGAGCAATCAGGAACAAGGAGTCAAAGCAAGCGAGCTTCCTAGCCAGATGCGCATGCGGCCTCCACAGGTGGCAGTGTGAACTGACGGGAGCTTGGGAGCCGATGCAGGGGATGCAGACGGCGGCAGGGACGGTGGTGGGGACGGCAGTGGTGGAGATGATGGTAATCGTGGCATATATGGCTGGAAATGGAATTGCAATGACTTCAAACAAGTACACCATTATACAGTACTTTTAAGAAATTGTAACTGTGTAATCGCTCACCTGTACAGTGGGGCAGCGTCCCGCTCCAGTGACTATCCTCCTGGCAAACTCGAGTGCTGCTGCCTACAAGGCTCCGGCCCCCTTTGCAGGAGTAGTGCACGACGGCCCCATGTGTAAACAGCTCCCCGGTCAGGATGGCATTGGCAGGAACCCCTGGGTGTCCGCATGATACCACTTAAAAGACACAACATATAGGCACGTCACTCCCGTTAAACTGCTTTGCACTGTCTGTGCAAATCTGCCTGGGTCTCCCACACACATACCCCAACATCACTCGGTGATGAAAAACCCCTAAACAAACTGGCATTTCCCTGCAGTTCTCGGAGCTGAGAAATGCCAATTCCCACGCGACACCCACTCTGAACATCCATTCACCATTAAAGACAAGGAAAGGTTCTGTCAGTGAAGTTTGAGTTTCTGCTTTTTGTTTTGTTTATCTTAAGGTAGAGATTCACCTTTAGGCTTTCAAAGAGAAAGTCACTCTAACTACATTTTTTCAACCTGCTCTTCACTGTATTCTCAAAAAAGTGGTGTTGTATGAAAATGTTAGAAATTATCACAGAAAACTATTTCCATTATTTCTTCAGTTAATGTGACAACCATACAATTTGCATGAGGACAAAACTCTTGCCAGATTTACTTCCTCTACCAGTTCCCATGTTTAGGAAGACCATTCTAACAATTTTCTTCAAATAGGTGGGCAGCCTCAAATGCCTAAGTAAAATAAAAAATAAATAAATAAAATAAATAATCTTTCCCATGTTATTTTACACAATAATCTCAGTGCTTCCATTCATTTCTTTAAAATTATTCCAAGTCAGGCCCACACTCTATTCACAAATTATCTCCCCAAAAGGAAAATTCAGAATCAAGACTAATACAGGATAGTGAAGGCTTATCTCCCCCCCTTTCTGCAAAGTTCCAAATTAGGGTTAACGATGGACAAATTTTATGGTATTGTGCAAATAGGTAACTGGACGCAGGCTACCAACAACTTCTTCAAAGGCACTGACTTTACATCCTAGAGTAACTTCACTTGGTCACAGGGACGCAGACATGGTACCAACCCGAGAGGTCGACCTAAAAGGGTAACAGGCAGACCCCGGGTCCCACCAGCTCCTACACTGACGCTGTCTGACACCGACACCCATTCACTGGAGAATGAGATTGTTATCTAGGTGGACCCCAAAAGAAACCTGATTAGAGCTGAATCTGTAAAACAGTCTGTAAACAACCAGTTCATGATAACATAAAGAAGAAAGAAAAATCAGTTGAGACACTGTAACAGAAGAAATAGCGATGGAGCTCGGCGGCAGCACAGCACGAAGAGCACCTGGGTCCCCACAGGCACAGCGATTCCAGGCGCTAGTGACAAGTGGTGGGGCTGAGGAAAAGGAATCGGTGAGAACCTGGCTCCTGGAGATGCGGGCCATGCTGGCATCATTACAGACATGAATGGGAGTCTCACAAAAGCCAGGGAAGACGTGCAGGAAATGTCTGGGGCAAAAAAGGAAAAATAAAAACCTAACGTCTTGGAAAATTCCCACATGTGAAGGCCTAGAAAGCCAGGAAGTGGATCAAATTTGATGAAGAGAGCAACACGCTCTGCGTACAGGCTGGGCTCACGGGTCTGAAAGTCACCAGTCTCTTTCACGGTAGAAATGCAGATGGTTGTGTTGTTACTGCCAGAACTTGACACAAGTGTCCGTGTGGCCTGGAGGGGCTCGGGAGGGGCCCTGACTTGCAGGAAAAAGTCTCTAATCCATCCTGAAAATGTACTGAGATGATCCTTAGAGGGGCCGTGGATGGTCACTTTTTTCAGTACTGATGTATAATGTCATTGTCATTTCCCACTTTCTATGTTCACTCTGTCTGCGACAGAGTACGAAGAAGTTAAGGTTTTCACTTTAAGGCTTGTTTTATCTCTGATTGCTTTTTAAAAGACGGGAGAGTGACCCCTCCTCCTAAATTTTCAGGCTTTGTTTCAATAAGATGATTAGAGTTAAAGGACAACAAGCTTTTTCAAATGAAGGAAAGATGAGCTTTTTGGGTAAAAAAAAAATGTGTTCTTATTAATCTACATGGTATCAAATATACCAATAACAATGTTTTGAGGAAAGCCATAGTCGTCTCTAATTTTGTCCACCCAGAAAGTTATCTCCCTTCTTTATGGCAACATGCCTTCCATTTATTAAACACGGGATGAGGAGGAAGTTATTATCAAAATACTATCGTTTTTGTTATTTTTATTATATTAACTACTGACTGCCTCAGAATGGCATATGAGACCCGCATTAGGTCCCTCAGAGTCCCCCACGCTCTGGCCATGGAGACTAGGTCACCAGGATGGGTGCTCTGTGCCAGAGCCCTTTGCCAGCATTTCTGAACCTGGGTTTGGACAGGGGAGCTGAGAGATGCAGGCGCTGAGGCCGCCGGCTGCCACACCTGAACCGTGCAGAACTACGCGTGTCTGTGGGGACGAAGCACAAGACAAGCAGAGAGGGGACCCCGTGAAGCCCGTACGCCGAGCCCACTCCTCTCCGGGCAGGTACATGGGCATGCCATTGTCTCCCATTTTCCCCTCAAACTACTCTTGAGTTGTGTTTTGTGAATTCTGGCCAATGAATAAAGATATCACACTAACTTACACAGTTTGTGATGGAAGGCAGAGAGAACCCGCTGGGGGTGGTCTTACCGGGCTCTGGAGCCCGAGGACCTGTAGTGAGTCTCACTTACCCAAACACCGGGGCAGAGAGCGATCCCACAGGCCGTTAGCCATACAGGTCAGGGCGGAAGAGCCCAACAAATAGAATCCCTTCTTGCAGTGGTACGTGACGCTTGTCCCATATTCAGGGTTCTCGGGGAGGTCCTGCTGCCCGTGGCGGAGGGCGTTTTCCACCGAGCCCGGATCTGCGCAGTTCACCACTGGAAAGGAAACCAGTCACCAGTCATGTGGACACAGCTGAACATTCATACCCCGAGCAGGTGGAAGGGGAGGCCGAGCCCTCATCCGGGCAGCAAGTGGGCAAGATGCCGGCCCCACAGCCGAGGTTCATCATGAGCTCCCACTCCCCGGAGAAGCCCTGCTCACGGCTGCGGGCCGCTACACTCAGGATGAGAATATATATACACACACATGCATGCACATATGTATGATATATGCTTATGCATATGTATGATATAAATTCATTCTTATTTATACATTTCTATTTCTATATTATGTATTTATGCATTACATGCTTTATAGTATATATATATATAGTATATATAGTATGTAGATTATGCATAATTAAATTATATGCATTATTTTCTATTCATGTATATAACATAATAAAATAAGATGCAGGTGCAAGTATTAATGGCATAGTAGAGAAAATGGAGATTGTGGAAACAATTTATATTTCTGGTATTGATATTGTGTGATTTCATTTAAATTAATGAAATTATATAGAAAGTGTTTCATACATATAAGAATAGGTAATATGTGTAATCATTTTAGACTCAAAAATTAAGTAACTGAGAAGTTTGCAAGCAAAACTATGTACGTTTAGCTGTGTCTGTTGCAATTCTAAATGAGTCACTTCCTGGACTGTGAACAAAAATGATGCTCTCTTCCCCTCAAGGCAGGCTTTGCCAGGGTGGGGCACAGCACCTGTGAGGTAACCAGGGTGTTTCTACCGTTATTACCAGGGTGCTCTATCACTTCCTATCATCCTTCTCAAATATTAAGATAAAATGAGATATACTCACTCCAAAATACTACCTAGAGAGTCTCCCCCAATTCTTTTGTAATACAGAGTTCTGGACAAGGGCCACCAACAGGTGGGAGGTGGTGTGGGCCTGAGGCTCCTTGCAGCCAGCCGCCGGCCGGCCCTCCGTCTGCTCCTGCCATCGCTCCTTTAGCCCAGCCAGTCACCACCAGCGAGCACAGCATGGCAAGGTCACACAGAGACCATCGTGGGGAGGGGATGAGAGATGTCCTGAGGGTCATGGGCCTCCAAAGGGTGAGGACCAATCACTGCTGTGTGATCTTTTCAACAGTCAGAGCATGTTCACATACCCAGTCATGATTTTTGATGATCCTCCTATACATTTTGGGGGAAATAATTGACTTGTACAAATAGTCTGAATCTCTAGGATTTCTGTGGGCTGATACTGGTCATTTCAGAATGCAAGTCCATGCACCTTCGCACACAGGCTGCAGGCCTGACCAGGACCCGTTGAGCAAACACACCCGCTCAGAGGAGCCCCTCAGTTGGTAGCCCATCTCACAGGAGAAGCGCAGAAGGCTCTTGGTCTTGAACTCATCTCCCAGCCGAGACCCATGCGCCCGGGTCTCCCAATCATCACAAAATCCAGGATTATTTCCTATTGAACATAAACATATAGAGCAATATGCAGTACTGTTAGGATCACTTAAAACAGAGCCATTATGTTTAAAGAGAATGAAGTTATTAAATTTGTATTGAACATGGGTTATAGTTATGTAGCATCCTGGAAATCTCATGCAGAAGATTTTATGTATATGGGCACAGAAGTGAAAGAGTTTAAGAACTGTTCCGGCGCGGCTAAGATCAAAATGACTTATTAAAATGTGGTGACAGGAACTGGTATTCCTTAGAAGAACCAAGACCCTGGGAAGTGTTGGCAGGCTTGTCAGAGGGATACAGGTGAAGGTCTACAGGGGACGTAAGAGATGTCAAACAGGTCTGCTTCTCAGTAGTGTCCAGGCCTGCTGACTCACTGAGGTGTACTTATTTGAGAAACGTTTATGGAAGAATTAAATAGATTTTTTTTCAAAAGAGGATCAATGTAATAATTGATTATAGACAGGAAAGACTTGGAAGAATTGAAAGGAAGCATAGGACAGGAATAAAGAGCAATCAGGGACAAGGAGTCAAAGCAGGCGAGCTTCCTAGCCAGATGCGCATGCGGCCTCCACAGGTGGCAGTGTGAACTGACGGGAGCTTGGGAGCCGATGCAGGGGATGCAGACGGCGGCAGGGACGGTGGTGGGGACGGCAGTGGTGGAGATGATGGTAATCGTGGCATATCTGGCTGGAAATGGAATTGCAATGACTTCAAACAAGTACACCATTATACAGTACTTTTAAGAAATTGTAACTGTGTAATCGCTCACCTGTACAGTGGGGCAGCGTCCCACTCCAGTGACTATCCTCCTGGCAAACTCAAGTGCTGTTGCCTACAAGGCTCTGGCCCCCTTTGCACAAGTAGTGCACGACGGCCCCGTGTGTAAACAGCTCTCTGGTCAGGATGGCATTGGCAGGAACCCCTGGGTGTCCGCATGATACCACTTAAAAGATACAACATATGGGCACGTCACTCCCGTTAAACTGCTTTGCACTGTCTGTGCAAATCTGCCTGTGTGTCCCACACACACACCCCAACATCACTCCGTGATGAAAAACACCTAAATGTACTGGCATTTCCCTGCAGTTCTCAGAGCTGAGAAATGCCAATTCCCACACGACACCCACTCTGAACATTCATTTACTATTAAAAACAAGGAAAGGTTCTGTCAGTGAAGTTTTAGTTTTTGTTTTTTGTTTTGTTTATCTTAAGGTAGAGATTCACTTTTAGACTTTCAAAGAGAAAGTCACTCTAACTACATTTTTTCAACCTGCTCTTCACTGTATTCTCAAAAAAGCGGTGTTACATGAAAATGTTAGAAATTATCACAGAAAACTATTTCCATTATTTCTTCAGTTAATGTGACAACCATACAATTTGCATGAGGACAAAACTCTTGCCAGATTTACTTCCTCTACCAGTTCCCATGTTTAGGAAGACCATTCTAACAATTTTCTTCAAATAGGTGCAGCCTCAAATGCCTAAGTGAAATAAAAAATAAATAAATAAAATAAATACTCTTACTCATGTTATTTTACACAATAATCTCAGTGCTTCCATTCATTTCTTTAAAATTATTCCAAGTCAGGCCCACACTCTATTCAAAAATTATCTCCCCAAAAGGAAAATTTAGAATCAAGACTAATACAGGATAGTGAAGGTTTATCTATCCCTTTCTATAAAGTTCCAAATTAGGGTTAACGATGGACAAATTTTATGGTATTGTGCAAATAGGTAACTGGACTCAGGCTACCAACAACTTCTTCAAAGGCACTGACTTTACATCCTAGAGTAACTTCACTTGGTCACAGGGACGCAGACATGGTACCAACCTGAGAGGTCGACCTACAAGGGTGAAAGGCAGCCCCCGGGTCCCACCAGCTCCTACACTGACACTGTCTGACACCGACATCCATTCACTGGAGAATGAGATTGTTATCTAGGTGGACCCCAAAAGAAACCCGATTAGAGCTGAATCTGTAAAATGGTCTGTAAACAACCAGTTCATGATCACGTAAAGAAGAAAGAAAAATCAGTTGAGACACTGTAACAGAAACAATAGTGATGAAGCTCAGAGGCCGCACAGCGTGAAGAGCACCTGGGTCCCCACAGGCACAGCGATTGCAGATGCTAGTGACAAGTGGTGGGGATGAGGAAAAGGAATCGGTGAGAACCTGGCTCCTGGAGATGCGGGGCATGCTGGCATCATTACAGACATGAATGGAAGTCTCACAAAAGCCAGGGAAGATGTACAGGAAATGTCTGGGCAAAAAAAGGAAAGAAAAAAAAACTAATGTCTTGGAAAATTCCCACATGTGAAGGCCTAGAAAGCCAGGAAGTGGATCAAATTTGATGAAGATGGCAACACGCTCTGCCTACAAGGCCCGGCTCACGGGTCTGAAAGTCACTAGTCTCTTTCATGGTAGAAATGGAAATGGTTGTGTTGTTACTGCCAGAACTTGAGACAAGTGTCTGTGTGGCCCGGAGGGGCTCAGGAGGGGCCCTGACTTGCAGGAAAAAGTCTCTAACCCATCCTGAAAATGTACCGCGATGACCCTGAGAGGTGCCGTGGACGGTCACTTTGTCAGTACTGACGTATAATGTCATTGTCACTCCCCACTTTCTTTGTTCGCTCTGTCTGCGACACAGTGAGCATGGAGAGGTTAAGGTCTTTACTTTAAGGCTTGTGTTACCTCCGATCGCTTTTTAAAAGACGGGAGAGTGAGTCCTCCTCCTCAATTGTCAGGCTTTGTTTCAATAAAACGATTCTTTTTGAGCTAAAGGACAATAAGCTTTTTCAAATGAAGGAAACATGAGCTTTTTGGGTAAAAAAAATGTGTTCTTATTAATCTACATGGCCTTAAATATACCAATCACAAGGTTTTGAGGAAAGCCATAGTTCTCTCTAATTCTATCCACCCAGAAAGTCATCTCCCTTCTTTATGGCAACATGCCTTCCATTTATTAAACACGGGATAAGGAGGAAGGTATTATCAAAATACTGCCGTTTTTGTTATTTTTGTTATATTAACTACTGGCTACCTCAGACGGCACATGAGACCTGCATTAGGTCCCTCAGAGTCCCCCACGCTCTGGCCATGGAGACTAGGTCACCAGGATGGGTGCTCTGCGCCAGAGCCCTTTGCCAGCATTTCTGAACCCAGGTTTGGACAGTGGAGCTGAGAGATGCAGGCGCTGAGGCCGCCGGCTGCCACGTCTGAACCGTGCAGAACTAAGCGTGTCTGTGGGGACGAAGCACAAGACAAGCAGAGAGGGCACCCCGTGTAGCCCGTACGCCAAGCCCACTTCTCTCCGGGCAGGTACGTGGGCATGCCATTGTCTCCCGTTTTCCCCTCAAACTACTCTTGAGTTGTGTTTTGTGAATTCTGGCCAATGAATAAAGATATCATACTAACTTACACAGTTTGTGATGGAAGGCAGAGAGAACCCGCTGGGGGTGGTCTTACCGGGCTCTGGAGCCCGAGGACCTGTAGTGAGTCTCACTTACCCAAACACCGGGGCAGAGAGCGATCCCACAGGCCGTTAGCCATACAGGTCAGGGCAGAAGAGCCCAACAAATAGAATCCCTTCTTGCAGTGGTACGTGATGCTCATCCTGTATTCAGGGCTCTTGGGGAGGTCCTGCTGCCCACGGCGAAGGGCGTTTTCCACCAAGCCCGGGTCCATGCAGTTCACCACTGGAAAGAAAACTGGTCATCTGTCATGTGGACACAGCTGAAGATTCATACCCCAAGCAGGTGGAAGGGGAGGCTGAGCCCTCATCAGGGCAGCAAGTGGGCAAGATGCCGGCCCCACAGCCGAGGTTCATTGTGACTCCCACTCCCTGGAGAAGCCCTGCTCACGGCTGCGGGCCGCTACGCTTCCCCAAATCCCAAGCAATGTACCAGCTACCAGAGCAATTTTTTAATGACATGAGGTCAGTTTCTGTTAAGTATTTCCTAATAATAAGCTTTTCAATGTAAAGTGTAAAATTACTTTTCTTGGTTTGTATGTTATGAAAACTTTAATATAGAACTGGCTGAAGTTAGTTTAAATATTTTTACTCAAGTGTGACATTTTAGGACAATCTGTGACACAATACTTAGTTACCGCTCCCCCCCCCACTCCCACAGGCATGGCACTGCTGCGTGTGCCCCTAAAGGCATTTCTGTTATGTGTCTATGCAAATAAAAATGGCCATCCTTTCACCAGCACTTCATATAAACGTGAATGAGGCCAGCCCCCCATCACTAGCCTCTTCCCCCTTCAGGAATGGCCTGTGGTGGGAGCCGCTGGCAGGCAGGACATGCTCTGCTTCATCTGAATGCTTGCTGGCATCTGCAGGGGAATTAGCCATGTGCTTCACAGGTGCAGAGGAAAAGAAAGAGGCCCTGATTATCTCAGGTCTGACCCACCACACCAGTGAATGAAGCAGCTGCTAGGGAAGCAGGCTCTCCAGATGGTTCTGGCTCAGAACGGGCTGTGCAGCACATTCTCTGGCTGGCGGTGCGGGTCTCAGCTGCAGGCCGGCCCTTCACCTCTCTGCACTAAGGAGGAAGGTGTGGGCAGAATGGGGGGTTACAAAGGTCCCTTTTAGGCTATCAGATAATATTCTATGCTTTTAAAAACAATTCTTGAGTATACAGAAGACCCAAGTTCTTTTGCATCAAAAAAATAAAAATAAAAAAACATGCTTCTGGAGCAGAGGCAAGTATTTTAAGGCGCCTCAGTGGCGGTACCAACAGCAGGGTGACGGGACTTGCTCACTTGCAGCGATTACCTCTGTGCAGCAACTCTAACTTGTAAGACTGATTAAATTTATAACCAGAAGAGCTCCTGCAGAGGCGCCTTTATGCCAGGGACTTGAATGGCAAGCCCAGGAGACAGAAATAGGTCCCCGGGTTACATGTTCACAAGAAGGAAGGTGGCTCTTTGGCTCGGCTGCTGAGGACACTACTGTGCTCACGTTTGTGCTTATGTTCCTCTTAGGCGACGATCCAAACACACATCAGATGCCTTCTGCAGGGAGAGCAGAGGAAACCGCACCCCAGGCACGAGGGGCTCTGTGTGCTCCAACCAGCCTCTCCTTTCTGATTCTGTGCTGTTTATGTTTTGGTCCAGGTCTCCTTAATACAGCCTAGCTGTGTGACGGGGAAGAAGGAAGAAATGTACTAAGCCATCGCCACCTTGGGCTTGGAGCTCAAGAGAAGGCTCCAGCCGGCGATGAGACGAGAGGCAAGGGTGCTCACAGCCGCCGCCGCAGGAACAGGCCCCGCCGCACGTGTCTCCACAGGCCCAGGACTCAGAGCCCGTGAGTTTCAGGCCCAGTTGCTCTGAAGCTGTGGACGAGGATTCTCCTTGATGGCCCCTCTTGCCCTCCGCAGAGGATTGGCGTACAGGGGACATGTATGTGCTCATTTCTGCCAACCTTTGGGGACTTCAGGGTGCGTCAGAATGACCTGGCTGGAGAGCGAAACACTGAGTCCAGGCTTGCCCATTGCCAGCCTGTTAGCCAGTTCTGTGCCCTTGAACTATGATGCAATGAACATGTTCGGCAAGGATAAAGATCCCGTGGGCGCCAATGGGGAAAACTGAATTGTTGCTCGTGCTGGTAAAGGAATGCCTACTTACTCTAAACCTGCTCCTGCATTTTTCCAGTCGGGTCCTAGAGAAGTTAGTCCTATGCAATACCAGTCAGAAACACCTATTTCTATTCCTTCAGATTTATTTCAGTCTCCTCTAGGAGATCCAGCTGCATCGCTCTGCTGGGGGAAAAATAGGGCAGGAATAATTTGGTGTATTTGTCCCTGACAAAGACAACTCTGAAATATCCCACGTCATTGTTGCCAGTGGGAGGCGTGCTCCCGCCATGTGGAGAGCAGGCTGCCCGCCAGAAGAGCTTGGGAGCGCCCAGTTGACGGGTGCAGACAGCCTGCTCACTGTAGGCTTTCTCCTATTTTGGGTGTGATTCCCATCTCAGGAAGGTGGCCCGAGGCTTGCACGAGTGGCAGATGCGAGCTGGCAGCACGGTGGAAGGCACAGTCACGTTAGTTAAGCCGTCTTGTAAGTTATGAAGTGACCAATGAACTTAATGGTGTGAAGGTAAGTCAGACCAAGTCAGAGCTGCTGAAACGACTTTACATTTGAAGTTTGCAACATGACGTGTGGCAGAAGGTAATGCATGGAAACTGGTGGGAGTGTCCCTGTGCAGGGCTACACCTCGTCCTAACATCTCACCCCAAGAGCGCTGGAGCTGGGGCTGTACTTGGTGTCCAGGGGTTAAAGCCTGGAACTGCATTTCATCAGCTGGGAGGAATGAGACACACTGGTATCATTATACTTGGCCCAGAGTGGAGAAGCTCAGGACGGCACAAAATGTGTTCCCTGTGGACATCTGTGTAGGTCAGAGGGTAAAGTCCATTAACATAATGATCAGTAAGTGCCAAGCTCATGAATGTAGTTCCTCCAGAACTAGGTAAGGATTAGGGCTATACAGTCAGTATAGCGCATTTATAAAAATACACCAGTTTCTCCTGGAGATGTGAACTCCACAGGCATCTCCCTGACCCTTTTGTTTTGGACCGTGCTCGCTGTCAGTCTTGACTCTCCGTAATATTTCATAAGCTATGCCTCAGCCTTTTCTTCCCAACATACACTCCTTACTCTTGTAGAAGCTGTCTTTAAAAATATTCAAGGTAACATATAAATAGAGATCAAACATCCCACCCCCTATGATTTACACTTTAAAATATGTTTTAAATATGTTAAATATGTGTTAAATATGTTTTAAATATTTTTTATATTTATTTAATATAAAAATATTTAATATTTAATATTAAATAAAATTTAATAAAAATATTTAAATATTTAAATAAAAATATGCTTTAAATGTTTTAAATATGTTAAAATATGTGTTCTCTTTCAGACTTTTTTGAGTACTAACAACATTCTTTTTATCCAAGTATTGCCCCCTTCTCTCTGACTATGTAGATAACCTAATAAAGCATGTTATGACCATAAAAAACTGCTTCACCTTCACACTAAAGCACAATTCACCTTCAGCAAGAGAGATGCATTAATGGAAAATAACTGAAGCAAAACCTTAAATATTATGAGCTCACACATTAGAAATACAAAAACTACAAAGCGTAATTTTTCTTGGAAATTCAGGTTGTAGCCCAGATCTATGTGATAGTTTTTAAAGAAATGAATCAAAACTTTGAGATTTAAAAGTAGTAAGAACTTCTTAAGCACAACCCTAAGTCTAGAGGCTAAAGGGCCAAAGATGCCGGCTTTGCGGGGGGAATAAATGTGTGGATGACAAGTAAAAAGGGACATGAAGGTACGCCATCTTTAAAGATGGGAATCTGGGCTTTTCTGACTGACTGTATGGCCAACACCAGGACGAAGGCCAGGGAGAGACTCGTGCAACCTCGTGGTCCCGCGGCCGGGAGAGCATGTGGGAGGCCGAGGCCTCGAGGGGAGCACCAGGCCCTGCGGCTCCCAGTGGCTCGTGGCTGGAAGCGTCTCCTACCTCGGCAGGTGGGCAGTGGGCTGCTCCACTGGCCGTTGCTCCGACACTGGGCTCGAGCTGGGCCCTGCAGCAAATAGCCGGTGTTGCAGGTGAAGTTGACGACGTCATTCAGGTTGAACTCACTGCCATTTGTGTACCCGTGGGCAGGATTCCCAGGGTGGCCGCAGGTGATGGCTGTGGAGGAAGGAAGGTTGGTGTCACCATCAAGGCCAACGCACCTCATCCTCACCAGGAGCCCTTAGACATGCACACCTGGGGGGGGATACATGTGTGGGCTAAAGGGCTGACAGCTGATCAGATGTGTTACAGATTGTATTTGTGTTTGGAAAGGATATTTGGGAGAAAGAGCCACTGGCTGAACACACAGATTCTTACTGTAATTGTAACAGAGGAAAAAACACTTGGCAAAGGTGCTTTCTTCATCATCATCATTTCTCACATCATGACAGAACATCAAGTAATTTCACAGTGAAAAACAAGAGATGATACTCATGAATTAATCATGAATCTTAGCATTTTCCCTTAGATACACCGGCTCATTCTGTGGGCTTCTCATCTGAAAGATCATAGGGACTCGGCTGATCATTTCAAGTGTGTGTGTATAAATTAATCCCCCATCAGCTGAAACATCCTGAAATTAGCTAAGGGAAGTGTGCATGCCCAAACACTATTTTCTTTGATGACCCGTACTGTGGAAGCACAGCGAGCTGTCATCATGCAGTGGCCCAGGCAACAGTGATGCAAACTGTGAAGCTTCCCTTCACTGGTCCTTTCTAAGCAAACACGCTACAGTCATACTCGTGTTTTCCCCTCCATGTATGTGGTCAACAGTTGTTTTCCTCTTAGCATGGTGTTCACCCCTGAACTTTGTATGTTTGCTAGTCTGCTAACAAACTGGAGTTACATCAACATTTCCCTGTGGAATTCACAGGAAAATAAAGACCGTATTAGGACAAAAATCCAATTGGTTTAAATGAGTTTTGCAATGGATGGTGCAATCTCTTTTAAACAGAGCAGTCAATGTTTATCTCTGAAGTTACACAGTGTGAGGAACATCATTTCCTACAATTTCACCTCTTTCTATTCAAGGAAGGGTTGCTTACAAAAGCTCTGTATTCTTGATGAAACTGGCAAAAGTGGAAACCGCACATCAGATTCAGGGAGGGTGGCTCTGCCTGGGAATCTGCAAAGCCTGCCTGCGGCCTCAGAGCAGGATCTTTATTCTCCTATAATTGCCTTTGTTTGCACCCTTTTATCCTGGGACCAGGTCGGGGAGGGTGATGCATGACATCACGCATCCTGGGGTCCAATGTGATGAGTGAAGAGCAAAGCCCATGTGGACAGGCGTCTGCAGGTGGTGCTGGGAGAGATGGGGATGGGGGGGCCAGGATGAACAGGGGAGCCCCTGTGCCTCTCTGGAAGGTCCCATCAGGCTCTCCGTTCAGTCTTAACCTGAAGGTCAAGAGCTTCTGTGCTGTGACTTACTAAGGAGAAACGCGACAGAGGGAAGCTTCCCGCTGAGTTAGCTCGCGAACAGTGTACTTACGCACGCAAACTGGGGTCTGCCCGGACCACTTGTGGTCCTGCAAGCATATCCGGACGGACGTTCCCACGAGCCGGAAGCCGGGGTTGCACTGGTACACCACCGTGTCCCTGTAGCTGAAGCCGCCCCCGCTGATGTGCCCATTCACCACCGGGTCGGGGGAGCCACAGTGGCCGGCTGGAAACAGAGCGACGCCTGTCAGGACACCTCGGAAAGTCTGTCTTTCACAAAAGTACATATTCACAATGTGTTCACCTTCACTGTCGAGTGAGCAATGGCGCTGAATGCATCACTCACAGGAATGTTTCCCATTTATATATATGCACTTTATGTACTGTTTAACTTTTTCTCAACAGCTGTGGGTTATGTAAGTAATATTTCAAATACGAGATTGTTAATGGGTATTTCCCCAATTGTGGTTTCCCCATTTCTTTCTTTTACTTATTTTTTTCTTATTGAGATTTGATGTTATTTATCTTGTTCTTCCATTTCCAAATAAAAGCCAAAAGAAAGGAAGGTTCACTTGAGATTAACACAAATAGGTTTTGTAACCTACTGAACACTGTTGGTAGGCAGGATGAAATGCGTTTCCAGTGGGCAGGTTACTAGGGTGTTTGTGAAATTCCAAAGGAAGGGCAGATATCAGAAAGTACGTCCGATTGCAAACGTGCACATTTGAGCGCTGTGTGAACCGAGGTTCAGGTGACCGTTTGAGAACAGAAGTCTGGAGCTCAGGGGAGGGATGCCGGGAGCCAGAGGAGCTGCCAGAGAAGTGGGACGACAGGCGGAAGCTGGAGCCTCAGGGTGGCCGAGCCCGTCTGTGAAAGCGCATCTCGTGGGACGAGCGCAGGCCCGATGAAGTCGGCGTGAACACTGATACTGAAGGGGAGGGAACAAGTGCAGGCAAAGGGAGCTGAGACTGTCCAGAGATAAGTGACAGACAGGGCCCAACAGCTTCAGACAGGGCTTCCACCCGGAGAAGGGGCTGAAGGGATCTGCACGCAGCCCTCCGCGAGTGCAGGGATGGTGCAGGGACGCGGGTTCTGTGCTTGACTAAACTTCCTCAGACTCCTGAACTTCTCCTGGACCCCTCTGCACACCTCCTTATAAAATTTGGTTTTGGAAAGAAACCCAAGTCAGTCTGGCAAGAACCTGCCTCCCTCCGTATCTGTAGGTCCCCACTCCCCACCATCCCCTGGGAGAATCTGATCACCTGCACGAATCTGGGGAGGTCAGATTAGCCAGAACCCCCAGCCCCTGAAGTCCTATCTCCATGCTCCCTGTCCATGGGCCACCTGCTGGGCTGCACCCCACAGGCCCATGCTGGGCTCACCCTGAGCTCCATCTCTTCATCCCACAACAATCCTACTGCAGTGGCCCTGAGTCTCACAGGCCTCACCATCTTTAACAGGTGTCCTTGAGTATGTTTTCTACTCACCCCCCTACCCTCTGCCCCTCGCCTCTTCCTTCCTCAAGCGTATGGCAAGACTCTTATTAAATCAACAAAGTAGAAGCATTAGAAGCTGCTGACATTGAAAGGGTCTGTTACACAAGGGTTTGGGATAGGCAGGAGGTGAGAGGCATTCACTAGGAGGTTCTAGATTATCCATCCAAACTGTGACGCTTACCCCAGGGAGGGGTGGCTGCAGCTTGAGAAGATGCGGACTGTGCTGGCGTGGACGCCCCTGGCCATGTACCCCGGTCAGAGCTCACTGTCCGCCCTCCACTGGAAGTAGAGTGCCCCCAGAGCTGAGAAAATAGCCAAATTCTTGTCATACAACGCCTGGGGGTAACTTCACCATTCCGGAAGAATTTAAAATGAACAATCTGTATTTCTGCTTCAGACAAGGGTTAGCAACACTGTGTTCTGGGTTTAAACTACATTTATTATCAGCAAGGTGAGTTTGCGGAGGAGGGGGTACTGGTTCAGCGGCTGGGTGCCCCCTGCCGGAGCCACATCTCTGCCTGCGTTTGTAAGAGGTCGGGTCAGAAAGCCCCACTAGGTCTCGCTGTTTGTGCTGTCTTGGCGGGCTGTCCATTAAGCCGATCAGCTAAGTGGATTCTGGAGAGGGGCCACATCAGCTCCCCAGACCCACAGTGGCACCCGCAGGAAACCCAGAGGTGGCTGCGTGCTCTCCGCAGGTGGGGGACAGAGCCGAGGGCTTTCAAGGTGCACGGACCTCGGCTCCCGGTCCCATCGCACAGCTGCTCTGTTAGGAAGGGAGATGGAGCCATTATTTCAACCCCAGCGACAGCTAGCAAGAGTCACACGCGGGCTTCCAGGAAGGTCCTGCCCACTTTGGGGGAAGGGGGAGCAGATAAAACGGAACTGAGCACCAGACCCACTGTCCAGTGCTCGAGCAGGGAGTGGGGCCCCTAACTCCTCTACATAGTGCCAAGTGTTTGGGGGTCACTTCAGAGGCCTTTCACCAGCCCAAGAAGAGGGGTTGTGAAGAGGGGTGCATTGTGATAAGTCCCCATCACTCCCCATCTCACTCTTGATTTGGACAAACATGACCGGCGAGGCTCGCTTTTAAATCTTAGTAAGTATCTTTTGGAACTGATTTTTGGTAAGAGTGCGTGGTCTGCGGTCGCACTCTCTTTTGGAAGCCTGTGCTTTCCGGTAAATGCTCTTAATGGTTAGGAAGCTAGCCGTACACGTCAGAGACCAGCTGGGAAGGCCAACAGCCATGTGCAGAGACAGTGATTTCTAGCGGAGACTGTCCTCTGACACATGGTCGTTCTGGTTCTCGGAGGAACTGGCCATGGATGCCTCAAGAAAACAGAGGATGTCTTTCAAAAACACTCCATCCAGCTCAGTGCAGAAGGAGAGAATTCTGAGGCTTTTGCTTCCTATTTCGAGCAAGTGGAGACAATAGGTCCTCCTATGTGAGGCTGACAGGCACAGTCTGATCTTTAGTACACCTCCCTGGAGCTCCTTCACTCGGTCTCAAACCAATTTCAGGCTATTCACAACTACAGAATACTCACACAATTTCACATCTGAGTATCTAACCAGAATTTCAACAGTATGTCAGTGTTGTAGAGAAAAGCTGTGTCAAGTGGGGTTTGGACTCAATGTCCTCTGAGCCCTATTCAAGTGTAAGGTTCCCTTCCTGTGCGGACCTGGTGCCGTGTCCCGCATAGGCCCTTGTCCCTCCCGCGGCCTGGTGCTGCTGCAGACACTCTGCCGGCTGCACCGACCTCCGGGCGCCGTGTGGCTGAGCTCAGGCCTCCGCTAGGGCCTGGATGTGCGCCGCCCATTAAATACTTCTGGAAGTAAATCAAAATGAAGTGACTTCAGGACTGACAGTAGTTGTTACATTTTCAAAGCATTTTCATGTCCATTATCTCCCAGGCCACTTTCATGTATTTGACAATAATTTAATCACTATTTGCTAGAGGCCAGCCATGTCCTTGGTGCTGGGGATAGTGGGGAGAATCAGATGCCATCAGAGAGTGAAGACCTGGGGAGGGCGCTGTGGGAGGCACCCCGAGGCTGCGGGCCCCAGGCGGTCGGAAAGCAAGAGGGACACAGCATTTAAGGCCTGAGGCTGCACATCTGCTAGCCAGGCAGACAGGACAGAAAGGCATTCTAGTTGGTGACACACTTTTTTTTTTTTTTTTGAGGGCATCTCTCATATTTATTGATCAAATGGTTGTTAACGACAATAAAATTCTGTATAGGGGACTCAATGCACAGTCATTAATCAACCCCAAGCCTAACTCTCGTCAGTCTCCAATCTTCTGAAGCATAATGAACAAGTTCTTACATGGTGAACAAGGTCTTACATAGTGAATAAGTTCTTACATGGTGAACAGTACAAGGGCAGTCATATCACGGAAACTTTCGGTTTTGATCACGCATCATGAACTATAAACAATCAGGTCAGATATGATTATTCATTTGATTTTTATAC